GGTCCAGCCAAACCAATGGCAGAAGCCACCAGTAGGCTACATATAGTGGCACTGCAGAGCTTAAGGACCGGAAACTGAACGGGAGTGAGACTTCCTCCCCAAAATGGGTGTATCAGCAAAAGCCGAAACGGTCGTCTGACACATCGTTCAGCCCTCGGATTTATCCCAGGCCATTTACGGTTATTCGAGTTTAACCCAGCAGTGCGGTCCTTAGCCGTTGCTAGGCGTAGTAGGCAAAAGCGTACTCCGCTCGAACAGAGCCGTTAGGATAGCCATCACGCCGCATAACGTGACTATCTTTGCGTACCACTTCCGCCGCATGATGTGGTCGTGAGTGTTAAGTTCACGCACCGAGTAACCATGCTAACGCAGTGGGATAAACTATCCATGACCCCCACTATATGGACGAACTACAGTAACTAAGTAGATGTCTCAGAATACTGGCAAACTTTGCCCAAAGGGACAATACACCATACCCCCATATAGGGGAAACAGTCTTGAGCCGACCTTTGGTGCCCTCAAAAGCACTGGGACGCTCCGGGCGGTGATGGTACTTGGCTACCAGCCTTTCCCGTCCTACCATTCCCGACGTGAGCCATATCCAGCAATTTGAAGGCTGCAAGTTGCAATGCCCGTGCGCAATAACCTGAGAAGTGACTCAGAGTAATGCGACTTAGGGTTTTAATGGATCGCCCTCACTGGCTTCTGCCTAAGGCTACTTACCCAAAACCATAACGTTCAAATAAATCAAATAGGGTTTTAATGGATTACCCAAAACCAAAATATAAGGTTAGAAAACCAAATATTGATGAAAAAATGAATTTTTTTTAAATGAGGTAATAAGGGTTTTTATGGATAACCCAAAACCATTAAAAAGCATTCAACTTGGGTTTTAATGGATGACCCAAAACCAAAATATAAGGTTTAAAAACCAAATATTGATGAAAAAAAATTATTTTTTTTTTTAAAATGAGGTAATTAGGGTTTTTGTGGGTCACCAAAAACCAAAAGCATTCAAAATTTTGAAAAATTTGGGCATGACCCCTCCGCACAGTGAAGCATCAATACCCGGGGTTCTTTTCCCCCAAGTATTGGTGCTCCACGTTTTTTTCACCCCATCCTGTGGGCCTTCTTGTGGCTAGGACCCGAAACCTAATATATACAGGTTTTTCCACAGGACGGGGTCTTAAGAGGACACTTCCATGCCTCGCTGTGTTTATAGTGCAGACGAGGTCATGGATAGGCCCCTTTTTGTGAAGAGGGAAGGGGGAGACTTCCCGTACCCCCAAAAGGGGAAACGGGCATGTCCCAATCCCCGATCACGCAGATTTCCCCCATTTCTGGGAAGAAAACGGCATGACCCCTCCGCACGGCGGAGTGAACCATTGCCCAATGTGCAGAAGGAAGGGGGAGACTTCCCATACCCCCAGAAGGGGAAACGGGCATGTCCCAATCCCCAAATCATGCCGATTTCCCCCATTTCTGGGCAAAAATCGACATGACCCCTCCGCACAGAGGTTTTCCCACTGAGCAGACGAGAGGGGGAGACTTCCCATCCCCCCAAAAGGGGAAACGGGCATGTCCCAATCCCCGATCACGCCGGCTCCGCCCATTTCTGGGAAAAAACCGGCATGACCCGTCCATCCAATGGTTGTACTTTCCCACTGTTCAGAAGGAAGGGGGAGGCTTCCCATCCCCCCAAAAGGAAGAACGGGCATGCCCCAATCCCCGATCATGCCGACTCCGCCCATTTCTGGGAAAAAACCGGCATGACCCCTCCGCACAGTGGTTGTACTTTCCCACTGTGCAGAAGGAAGGGGGAGCCTTCCCATCCCCCCAAAAGGAAGAACGGGCATGCCCCAATCCCCGATCATGCCGACTCCGCCCATTTCTGGGAAAAAACCGGCATGACCCCTCCGCACAGTGGTTGTACTTTCCCACTGTGCAGAAGGAAGGGGGAGCCTTCCCATACCCCCAAAAGGGGAAACGGGCATGACCCAATCCCCGATCATGCTGGCTCCGCCCATTTCTGGACGAAAACCGGCATGACCCCTCCGCACAGTGGTTGTACTTTCCCACTGTGAAGAAGGAAGGGGGAGCCTTCCCATACCCCCAAAAGGGGAAACGGGCATGACCCAATCCCCGATCATGCTGGCTCCGCCCATTTCTGGACGAAAACCGGCATGACCCCTCCGCACAGTGGTCAACAAATCACACACCCACATCCGTGGGATTTCTTTCTTCAAAAATTCCATCCTCCAAAAAATTTTCCATAATGGAAAATTCCAAATTTTCCAGCCATAGTTGATGTTGAACACCTGAAATATAAAAAATTGTTTTTTTTTGAAAAAAAATTTAAAAAGTAAAAAACAAACCAAAATGGTTTGTTTGTAGAAATGTGAAGGTGTTGAGTTGATGTTGAAGAAATGAATTGAAATAATTGAAGAAATTTGTTGTTGTTGTCGAAAAATAAAATGAATTAAAAATTGTTGTTGTTGTAAAAAATTGTAAAATTTTGAAAAATTAGGTTGAAATTGCATAGAAATAATATTTTGAATTGAAATATTTTAATTTATTGGCTAAAAATGAAAAAAAAAATTAAAAAATTTAATTAAAAATGAATTTTGGAGGGTATTGTATAAAACAGACCGTTTCAGTGCCACACTTGAGTGTGGCACCAAAACGACCATGCCAGCTGAATTCCCCGAGGCCGATTACCTATAACCCAAGTTTTAACCCAAACGGCCGCGAAGTTCCCTAAAAGGACGTTTCAGTGCCACGGTCAAGTGTGGCACCAAAATGACTATGCCCAAGGGATTCCCCAGGGCCGATTACCTAATATAATTAATTGCAGCTAAGAAGACCCAGCGGTTCCCGTTTAAATTAAATTTAAATTTTAGGGGGGTTTTAAAAAAATTAAAAAAAAATAAAAAAATTGGAAAAATAAAAGTTTCAGCCTTTTTTTCGACAAAAGGGTACATGGAAAAATGGTCAAAATCGAAAAAAGACCAAACGGGGGAAAAACTAATTGGGATTATAGGTAATCGGCCATGGGGAATTCAATGGGCATGGCCATTTTGGTGCCGCACTAAAGTGTGGCACTGAAATGGCCGGTTGGAAATTTCAACGCGTTATAACGGTTTTTTGAAGGGCCGGGGGATTTCGTGCCTGGGAGTGATTTTGTAGGGCAGCGTGTGGGGAACTTATAAGTAGTTGGCCATTTGAGTCTGGGATGAACTTTTGGGGGTGATATGAGTATAAGAATACCCCCACCCCCAAAATTTCGACCTTTTGTAACTTTGTACAAAATGGTCAGAAAATTTTACAAAAAATATTTTTAGACTCCTCTCGGTAAGGGCTTTCGATTGATATATTATTTCCCACATTTACATTGATTTTGAAAAATTTATTTTTTTGGTCGAAAATTTCGGCCGGGAAAATCGCTTAAATTTTCAAAAAATCATAACTTTCCGAAAGTTGACCTTTTTTAAATATTTTAAAATCCTATCATATGCAGAAAAATCTGCTCTATCCAGGAAAAATACTTTAGGTTCGAATCGCCGGCAAAAATCCCGAAAAAATTTCGAAAACCCGAAAAATTTTCGAATTTTCGAAATTCGACCCCTACACCCCCAGTTTCGAATTTTTTCGAAATTTTTTCGGCTCTAAAAATACCTAATTTTTTGCTTGATTTTATAAAGCAAACCCCATCCCAATCCGACTCCCCAAAAAAAAGTTAAGGTCCCCCAAAAAATCCCGAAATTTCCCCAAAAGGGGTACCCCTTTGGTTCTGAGGGCGGGGACAAAATTTTCGAATTTTGACCCTAAAGTCGACTTTTATAGTACTCTGACATGCGCTGAGTACGAATCCGGCGTCAAAAAAATTTTAAAAAATTTCTCCGGGACGTTAGAGTCTCATAAAGTTTTGCGACATTTTGCCAATTTGGCTATAACTTTTTGAGACTCAAGTGGACCCCCAACATATTATACCTTTTTCTGACCGCCAGGGGACATTCTTTGTAACTGGCTATCGAAGAGACCTGAAACGACCTTTTAAAAAAAGTCGACTTTTCGACTCCGACTCTTCGACCCATATGACCCCCAAAAGTTCACCCGAGACTCTAGTGGTCAACTATTCATAACTTCCCAACATCCAGCCCTACAATACCACTCCCAGGCCCCAAGACCCCCCAGTTCTCAAAAACGCATTATAACGCGTTGAATTTTTGAACCGGCCATTTCGGCGCCACACTCAAGTGCGGCACCAAAATGACCCGTCCCAAAAAATTTCCCATAGCCACTTACCTACTACCCCCAGGCTCCATCTCAATCCGCCCAGCCGTTCCCGAGATATAGAAAACGTACAATTGACCGCTACCCCAAGCCGCGACATTTGCGTACATGTCAAAAACGCTTACCGCGGCACTTCGGTATTTAGACTTCACCGAATTTAGAAATTTTTTTTAAACATTATCTACTAATCGTGGCGCGCGTGCCTCCCAGCGGGACTTTTCCGCTCCGACTTCTGGTTCACGAGATAAAAATTTTAGTGGGGTCGTTTCGGCGCAAAGGGAAAGTCGTGGCGCCGCCGCTATAATTTTCCTGAATGCGCCGTAAAAAGTTGCCCCCAGGATGTAAGGCTTCGGGGAAGCGGCCGGCCTTCGGCCGGCCGATATTAGTTTTTAAATTTAATTGGGCTCTGGATTTTATATTATATAAATTCTTTTGATTTTTTCTTTAACTTTTTCGAGGCGTGCATAATGCTGGAACGTTGAAAGGCCAAATATTCAAAGGCAATCGGAATGCCAAACAGTTTGTATCAGACCTGGTCATGGATATGGATACGGATAATACCAAACTGCCTGCGGATATCCGCCGTGAATATCCGGATAGGATACCAAAATCCGTGACCAGGTCTGGTTTGTACTATGCCGTTTTAGTATTATGGCTAGTTACCAACTTTTTCGTAGATTGGAATAGGCACATATTTATAAGGCAAATTTTCCTTTTTTGGTCCCTTCTTCAACGGATATCATTTCCCCTTCCAAATAAACAAAAATTTTATTTTTTTCAGTTATTATTTTGCCCAAAACCATTCCCGTGCAGATTTAATATGGAATGAAAAAACTCGAGATGAATTTCGTCAAGCTATTGCAAATGAAATGCGTTTATTACAACATGAATTAGAATTTGTACAATCTGAAACTGAAATAGCTTGGAATCATTCTGAATTTTTGGTTCTTTTTGATTTTTAAAATTAAGATTGAATTTAAAAATTTTTTTAGATTAATTACAATTCTTTGTCTGATGAAGTTAGAATTGGTGAATATTATTTAAGATTTTTACTGTCTGAAGAAAATAATGTAGAGACGGCTACGCCTATTCATAGACCTCAAGTTTGTTTTTCTCTTTTTTAGGTTGTCTTGTGAATTTCATTTTTTTGGGGGAATATATTTAAACATTCCATGTTTTTCAGAGACTCTCGGCTCTAAAAATATGTAGAAAAGGGTATTAGGACTTGAGCAGAAACCTCCTGCTTCTGTCCCATTAAAAAAGGTCCTTAACTGGTATGTATAAGAGACAATATCTAATTCTAGAGCTAGTATCTTATTATGAAGTTACCTGTGTTTAGATCCGTGTACTCGGAGTATTTTGTTTGTTTCCTAAAAATTTTTTAATATTAAAATTGTTCTGTTGAAAAATATTTTTTACCAGGAATTTTTCAACAACATCTACCATCGTTTTTTGCTTGCCCAACGAAATGAGATGCGTTGTATATGTTTACGTGCAATGGCTATTGTTTATGAACGTCATTGTATAAGTATAGGGCCTTTTAGTGATACTTATTATATTGTTCATATGTTGGCAAAATGTATTAATTTGGCTGAAAGAGATCATTTAATTTATTTAATAAGCAAGGTTTTTCTTTTTATTTTTAAGTGCTTAATTGACTAATAAAGGAAGTATCCATTGTAAGGTACTCCCCAAGAATACTTGTTCTGTTTTAATTAAGGGAACTGCCTAGGTCGTTGTATCGAGGGAACTGCTTAAACGGGCATCTAGCCGTCATTAAACGGTTATCTGGTAGGGTTGTTCCACGACGGGGGCCACGGTGATAAATTTTCGGATTTTTCTCAAATTCCCCGATTTCCGGGAACGGGGAACAACCCTAGTATCTAGCCGTCATAATGGGGTTTGTACTCTGGTGACATTTCCACAATTTGTTTCAGCGGTTTTTTAGTATTACGGTGCACTCCGACCTAAACGGTGCTCTCCCTTATTTAGGACGGTGCTCTCCCTATAAACGGACGGTGCTCTCCCTATAATTTAGGACGGTGCTCTCCCTATAAACGGTGCTCTCCCTATCCACAGTTTGTTTTTCAGCGGTTTTTTAGTATTACGGCGCACTCCTGCCTAAACGGTGCTCTCCCCTATTTAGGACACTCCCTATATAAGTTACAAATTTTTCCACCTCAAGAGGTTATCTAAAAACGATATCCTTCATTAATTAAAAAATTTTTTCAGTTAGCTCTGGATAAGCAAAATGTTCGTGATTTAATTGCTGCAGATTCTCTTCCCCTTCTAATTGATATTGCTGTATTAGCACATTTACATACTAATAGAGCTAAATTACATGCACAAACAAATGTTATTGAAGCACCAAAGGGAACAATAGATTCTGAAGAAAGTGCTCCTAAAGAGTGGTATTATAATGATAAACAAGGACAAAGGATTGGGCCTTATTCGTTTCGCAAGGTTTTTTTAAATTCTTTTAATGGAACTTTGAGAGCGTGACTTTTTTCTAATTAGGAGACTATGAGTTTAGCAAGTGCGTAGCCAGTCGGGGGGATGGGGCTTCAGCTCCCCCTGGCTACGCCTTTGGGTTTTCATATAGAAACTGATCAATGCTTCGAAAGTATTTTTCTCGATAACTACGAGATTTTTGTTCGAGTTTTCGGTTCGAGCTTTATGGTTATCTGCTTGTTTCATGTCTCCTTAACTCTAAACTGTGTTAACTCTAAACCATGATTCACTAAATTCTGACCAGTTAACCAACCTACTTTTTCCTTCTATAATTTTTAAAAATAACCCTATGAAGCTTGTGTCTATTTTTATAGATTAAACAATTATTTTGTGATGGAACATTATTCGAAAAAAGCGAAATTTGGGCTGAAGGTTTGGATAAATGGTGTTATCTGTCATCGGTCGCACAATTCCGCTGGACTATCTGTTGTAATCAGCATTCTCTAATTGGTCAAACATCTTCAATTAAGTCGGATGAGAACGAGAAATGTAAAGATAAAATTAAATTCGAATTCCATTGTAAGATACACTCTCTGGAGTTACAGCCTTGCTAAGGTTGGCGATCCTGAGAACTTCCGGACATTTTGATATTAACACTAAATTTTTTCAAAGTAGTTAAGTTGTCCTTTGACGGAAAAAGTCTCGGGAATAAAGTTTTGGGAGGCAAAGGCACTTTATTGGATAATAAGCTAGTGAATTGCCGACCTGTGTTTATATTTCTTTATTAGGTCGGGGATATCGTTCACAGTTTTTTTCTCCATTTAATTGCAACCAAAATAAACATTCAGAACTAAAATCTGCCCAATATCTTTCTAAAATTATTTTCTGTTTTTTTTCAGCTAAAGATATCGATTTATTACCAGTAGCTTTGTATAATCCAACAGATTTGTGTTCATTAATTCTTGATACATTAATCCAAATGTGTTCATTCTTTCCTTCAAGGTTTTCTAAAAATTTTAATTTTTTTAAAAATTTTTAAAAAATTTTTTAGAGATGAAACTGGAGCTATTATAAGACCTTTGCCTAAAGTAAAGAAAATTCTTTCGGAGCCAGTTTTGCTATATCAATTAGTTCAACTTTTATTGACATATGATCCAGCGGTTGTTCAAAGAATAGGAACTCTAGTTCATTTAATTATGGAAGTATGTTCGATTTTTTTTTAATTTTTTAAAAAAATCTGTTAGGCTCCTTGATGAGAAATTTTAGATCACAGAATTTAAAAGGTTATGTGATTCTAAATCACAATACCTTAAATTTTCGGTTCCAAAATATCGTACTATTCTGAGGTTCCCATTTCCGACGGTTACAAGTAGGGTTGGGGTTTTCGAGTCGGGTCGACGTTCGAGTCACTTTTTTCAATTTTTTCCCAAATTCAATGCCCGACTCGATCTTTCGGGTCGTGCCCTCAGCCCTAGTTACAAGCTTTGTTTGGGCTCTATCTTAGGACATGCGTCCCATGAACATTTATGCGTCCCATAAACAAAAAATTAGATTTTTCTTGGTGTTGCAAAGTTGAGGCATGGTTCCAAAGCATTTCTTCATGTTCGGGACCTACGCCCACTGGGTCTGGGACCGTTCCTTACCCTATCTATCGGAATTTCTGAAAGTTAAAATCGTTTTTCTGAAATTTTTAAAAATGGCTATAACTTTCAGAAATTTCGAGAAATAGGGCAAGAAACGGTCCCAGACCCAGTGGGCGTAGGTCCTGAACATGATGAAATGCTTTGGAACCATACCTCAACTTTGCAACACCAAGAAAAATCCAATTTTTTGTTTATGGGACGCATAAATGTTCATGGGACGCATGTCCTAAGATAGAGCCTTCGTTTGTTCCTATTTTCTGGGACACATTCCAATCGTAAAAACACTTGTTATGTTATTTATTTTTAAATTTTCAGGATAATAATGCATTGTCTCGTCTATACCTCTCTGGCATTTTCTTTTTTATTTTAATGTATAATGGATCAAATATATTACCTATCGCACATTTTCTCAAATATGCGCACTTAAAACAAGCTTTTCGGTCAACACTCTCAGCTTCAGAATTAGCTTCGCGTTCTGTTTTATGTCCAATGCTGCCTGAAGCAAATATTTTTTATTTGGAGGTTTGATTTTTTTTAAACTTTTTGAGAAGGTTTATGAGCTCTTTAAAAAATATTTTGAGTCTAATGCAAGAAAAATAATACTAGGATAGGGGCAGGCCCATAGCCAGGATTTTTTCCGGAATTCCCCACTTCTCCCTCTTGCTACCGGCCTGGATGGGGGAAATGTTTAGGAATTCTGATTTTTTGTCATTTGAATTTCGTTTAAAATCTTTTTTCAAATTTTTATTTTTTAGCAATACGGTGCTGAAAAATATGCTGAAGTTTTTCTTGGAGAATCACAAAATCCAGAATGTATTTGGAATAGCGATATGAGAAAACACATGATTAACAAGATTGCTCTACACGTTGCTGACTTTTCTAACCGTCTTTCTTCAAATGTTAAAGCTTTATATAGGTTTTTTTGAAAAAATTTTGTGTATAATTTTTAATTTTAAAAAGGTATTGCCCTATTCCTCCAATAGAATATGAACAATTAAAGGAAGAACTTTTTTGTCATTTTTATTATCTTCGCCATTTAATTGATGAAAAACGTTTTCCATTATGGCCAATAAGAGAACCTGTTGAATTTTTGCGTTCTTGTCTTTCTGCATGGCAAAATGAAATAACTAGAAAACCTACAAAAATGTCGAATGAACAGGTGAAGATTTTTTAAATTAGTAAAATGAAGCTGGGGAGCGAAGGGGAACTTCTAGGATCAAATGTCTCCTCGGGATCAAATGTCATTTTCCTACTGTTTTTCATTCAAGATATAATTTTTTGCTAGTTGCTATGTTTAATAAACAGAAAAGGATTTTATGAATGGTTAAAACTGATATTGGGGAACAAATATACTTACAAGATAACCTTCTGGGATCAAATGTCACCTCTCAAATTTTTTTATATTTCAATTTTTATTTTTTTAAAAGGCTTGTGAACGATTAGGTCTAGATATAAAAGACAAATCAAGTTGGAGCGATCCTGTAGCTGTTCGCCGTGCATATTTTAAATTAGCACAAAAATACCATCCAGACAAAAATCCTGATGGAAGAGAACAATTTGAACAAATTAATTATGCTTATGAATTTTTAACTTCAACATTGGCACGTGCAAGTTTATCACAGGAACCAGATATTAATAGAATTATTGTAATAATTAAAGCGCAAAGTATTACTTACAAAAGGAATTTGAAAGGTTTTTATTTTGAAAAATTTTTTTAGGAATTTGTTGATTGAGAAATTTTTTCAAAAAAAATTTCAAGGATTTTTGTTCAAAAAAATTTTTTTGAACAAAAATCCTGATGGGAGTGAATTTATTTTTTAACTTGAATTTTGCGAAATTTTTTGAAAAAAAAAATTTTTTTTAATTTTTTTGAAAATTTTCTGGAAATTTTTTCATTAAAAAATTTTTTTCTTCAAGTTTTGTCGCCTTATAAATATGCTGGATATACCCAATTAATTAAAACTATTGATTTGGAGTCGGCAGACGATGCTTTATTTTCAAATCAGAAGGGAGGTGAAAGTGGACAATTATTAATATCTGCTGTAGAGCTTTGTTATTGGACTTTAAAAAGTTCTCCTTTAAATGCTGAACAATTAAGAAGGGATGGTGGATTGGAGGTTTATTTAAATAAGATTTTTCGGGGATATTATGGGAATTATTTGGGTTTTCCCTTTGGTCCAAATTACTTTAACTCATATCTCCAGGTATCCTTTTTTAATCACTTCAAATCCACTTTAATCCCTCTAAATCCTCTTTATTCCCTCTAGATCTTCCTTAATCCCTCCAAATCCTCCTAAAGTCCTCCAAATCCTCCTAAATCCCTCCAAATCCTCCTAAATCCTCCTTAATCCCTCCAAATCCTCCTAAAGTCCTCCAAATCCTTTTAAATCCCTCCAAATCCTCCTAAATCCCTCCAAATTTACCTTAATCCCTCCAAATCCTCTTTATTCCCTCCAAATCCTCCTTAATCCCTTCAACTCCACCTTATTCCCTCCAGATCTTCCATCATCCCACCAAACCTTTGATATCTTGAATTTTAAAAGTTTTGAGCTATCAATCAAATCCAAACTCTTTATGTGATAGACATGTTCATATATATATTTTTAGGCTTTATACAAAACATTCTGTCGTTGTGTTCCAATGATTACATCAAGCTGCAATGATAATAGTATGGCTGTCAAAGTATGCCTACATGTTTGTAATTGTTTTGGTGCTGCTGCTAATTTTGAGGCTTGTCGTGAAAAAATTGCGGAAATGAAGGCTTTGTTTAAGGGAATTTGTCAATTACTTAAATTTGAAGTAAAAAAATTTTTTTTGAAAATTTTTAAGAAAAAAATTTTAATTTTTAAGCATTTAACCCGTCTTTCCTGTGCTGCCGCAGATTGTGTATGTTCTCTTTCTGTTTGTACACTTTTACAAACTCAAATGTTTCAAGCCGGAATTATTTGGCAATTAATGCCTCATTTGTTTCGTTTTGATTGGACATTGGATGAAGGAGGTTTTTTTCGTTTAAATTTTTTGAGAAAATTTTTTTTGAAGGTGTTGCTCATTCCGAAAAAACTAACCAACAATCCACTCTAAACCGTCTAGCTCGAAGTTGTTGTGAGGCTTTGGCTTGTTTAGCTGGTTATCGTCCAAATACTCCTGACAATGATGGAGTACAAAATAGGTTTTTTTTTAATTTAAAAAAGTGTAGAGAACTAGCAGGGGGACTCGGAGGGGGACTAGAAGGTAAAGATTCCTATTAAAATAATTCCAAAATAACGGGGTTCTCGTCAGCAAAAGCCAAAAAATTCAGAGTGGTCGAGAAAGAATAGGACTAGCTTGAAAACCAGTGCTTGGAAGCTCTACCAGAATTCGTACTCGTACTTTGGTACGGAGTACGAGTACGACGAAAAAAATAAGGGTGGTACGAAGTAGAGTGCGAGGCAAAATTGAAATTTTCAAGCACTGTTGAAAACAACAAAAAGTCTAGAAATTATTCATGTATATTTTCGATAAATGGGTAAACTTATGTTTTTGCATTTTCTTTAACTTTACGAAAAGAGAATATTTTTTTTATTTTTTTAGTCTTCGAGCAATGCTTACACCTTATATTTGTCGTCAAATGCAATTAGCATCTTGTTCACTTGCAGTTAATTTAAATCAATCAGATGGAGAGGAGGAAGAAGAAGAAGAGTCGCAAAAAGAAGAAATTGAAAAATCAAAAAATAAAAATTCAATTATAGAAAATGGAAAAATTGTTTTAAATAATGGAAAACAGAATAACTGTGAGTTGGAGAATTTTTGAGAAATTGAAAGAAAAAAATAATTTTTTTTTTAGGCCAACCAAATTCTGTTGATGATGATGCTTGTTTAGAAGAGGATATCCCTGTTACAAAACCTCCAATTCAATATAGAAATGATTTTGTACTTAAATTATTAAATTCAAATACTTTTGATCCTTACCTTATTTGGGATAATTCTACTAGAGCTGAACTTTTAGATTTTGTTGAACTTCATAGAAATTCTAATGATAACTTGGTGAGGCAATTTTTTGTTTTTTAATTTAAAGAAATTTTTTTTAAATATTAGGATAATTTTTTCCTATGTATAGGAAACATAAGTCTCTCCTCGAATGAAAATCCTTTCTCTTGTAAGAAAGTAAAGGGATCCAAATTAGGGAATGATTCAACGCTTACTAGGTAGTAAGGCTGGCGGATAGTCGGAAATCTTCGGATATCCGAATCCTAATATCCGAACCGAAAATTTCCTGATATCCTGCCTTTTTGGAATCCTGATCCGTCAACCTTACTAGGTAGGGGCTTTTAAGACTAACAATAAAAAAGGAAAATGAAGCTTATTCGGCTAGGCACATGCACGTAGTGAGCTAAGGCGTTTAACAATAATTGTCATCTATTCACGTAAACTATGCTCTAACGGGCTTCCAATGACTCATCCTTTCATATAAATCTACTAAAAATTTTTTTTCAGTTTTTCAATATTTTAAAATGATTTTTATTTTTTTAGAGTGAACTTTTTGGAGCTGAATTTAGATTAAGTATTTATGCAAGTGAATTTGTTGTTGGAGAAATTTTTGTTCGAGTTTATATTTCACAACCAGAATTTAAAATCCAGGTTTTTTTTGAATTTTTTTCCTTTTAAAAATTTTTTTTAGGAACCAAAAAGAACATGTATGGATTTACTTGATTATTTGTCTAAACATTGTGAACAACTTTATCAACAACAAGGTTTACTTGCACAACAACAAAAACAACAACTTTTACCAAAAACAACACAAAATCAAAAACCTTCCACATCAGCTTTACATAATAAGCAACAGCAACAACATAAATTGAATGTTGGAGCTGGGAAAAATGTTAAAACGGCAAAGGTTTTTTTTTATACTTTTTTAGATTATTTGGTAGTTTGATTTTTGTTGTTTGACCCGTTGTTTGACTCTTGTACCAAAGTACTTGATACCAAATTCGAGTACAAGACCAAAAACTAAATTTTCATGCACACTGATTTAAGTAACAATATTAACTAGGGTTGCCGTTTTCGATTCGAACCATCGTTTGGTGCATTTTTTCGAGCTTAGTTTTTTCTATTCGTTCGTTTTAAGCTGAAAAGCCTCGGCTCGCTCGTTCTTTCAAATTTCGGTTCGAGCGAGCTGGCAACTCTAATATTAATCTTTTACTTATGTTAGACCTAATCACAAGGTTGTGTTCATCTGTGCTTGAAGTTTCATTCTTGTCCGCACACACGAACCTCACATATAGTATCTTGTACATAAATCAGATTTCGAGTAAGAACGATTTGTGGTACGTGTATCCAAGCACTGTTTGTAGCCTAAATTTTTGACCTGGATTGTTGAACTTTTTTTTCAAATTTTCTTTTTTTTCAGCATCACAATAATGAAGTGGATGATTTAATTGATTTAACAACTGAATTTGTAGTTGAAGAGGAATTGCCTGTTACAGAATGGGGAGAATTTCAAACAGGAGTTGAATGTCATTCTTTTAATCAAAAACATCAATATGCTGCAAATGATCATAGGTTTATTTTACATATAGTTTTGAGTGGAGATGTCATTCTCGAACCGAACTGGGAAACCGAAGGTTTTCGGTTAATCGAAGACATTAATCAAAACGTTGGGAGAATAATATTTTGGGTGTCTAACAAGAGACTACCCCAGAGTCAGGGGTGTGCGCATTGCGTTATTTGCCTTGCGATGCGTCTTGCGTTTTTTGAAATTATCTCTTGCGCTCATCCCTGACTGTGATTAAAAAAGCATTTTATTTTACTTATATGTAGAGGATAACCTAAGGACTCCCCAATTTTTTGAGGGATTTTTAGCTACGAACCCTTTTTTGGATAGTTTGTAGATTTTTTTGACCTTCCAAAATTGAGGAAAATTTTAACTAAGAAAATTTTTTCTTTTCTATTTTTAGTTCACGTACCTTCAATAACAAAGAAAATAATAATTCAAAACTTCCATTGGAAGAAAAAATTCGGATGGTTTTGGAAGCTTTACGTAATTTATTAATGATGAATCCGGGTGTTGAACTTTTATTAATTGGACAATTTAAAACAATTTTTGGATTTTTACGTTTACATTCTCTCGATTTAATTCAATTAAAAACTTTACAAATTATTTCTATTGCTGCAAGTAATAAAGAATGTGTTAGTGATGTTGCTTGTTCAATTAAATTGTCTTTACTTTTAGTTTTACTTGTTAGGCTACCTAAAGGTTTGGAAAAAAATTTTTTTGAAAAACTTAAATCTCAAAAACAGGATTTTTTGAAAGTTTATCAAAAATTCCTAAAAAATTTTTGTAAAATTTTTCCGAAAATTTTTTAATTTTAACAAAAAATTTTTTTAAATTTTTTTTGAAGGTTTTTTAAAAAAATTTTAAAAATTTTTTAAGGAAAAAAATTTTGTTGAAAAATTTTTCTGAAAATTTTTTAATTTCAAAAAAAAATTTTTTTTTAATTTTGAAAAAAAATATCAGAAAAATTTCTTTAAAATTTCACAAATTTTTTTATTTTTAAGCGTGTGAAATTATTTTGCGCACATTAATTGCTCTAGTAGCAAATCAACAGGTTGTTAAAGATTTACTTGAATATGGTGGTCTTGTCTATATTTTATCTATTTTTGCTGAATGTACTTCAATTAACGTTAATGAAAATAAATTGGAAGAAAATGGTCATTTTTATTTTCGAATATTTTTAACTGTCGAACCTCTGCTATAAGATACTCCCAGAATTAGATACACCTCTATTTAGGATAAGGGTTTTGCGTTGACCATAGATGGGATTACCCTTTGATGTTTGCTTGGGTGATTATTGATTGATCAAGAAACCGACAATCCTTAATTTAAAATACCCCGCATTATAGGGTACTAGTTTTTTAACGGGGTATCTAAAAGTGGGGTCCAGCTTTACTCTTTTTTTGGTAATTAAAATTTTTTATAGATTTATCACCTCCAACAGGAGTAACTTGTGCCAGTAGAATGCTTGCAGCTGAATTATTTGCTAAGCTTCAATCTGACAAATTAACTGGTCCAAGATGGACACGCTTACTTTCTCGATTTTTACCAACAATATTTGCTGATACATTAAGAGATAATCCTGGAACAGCGTATTTTAAAATTTTTTAAAATTTTCCCTAATTTCCCCCTTAAAGAATTCAAATGTTTGATAGTATCACAGAAAATCCAGAATTAATATGGAATGATTCAATGCGTAATGATATAAGACAAACACTTGGAAATATACTTGTTACATTAGTGCCTTCACAACAAAAAGATCCTAATATAAAATGGAATATGGTTAATTTAAATATTTTTTATCCTCAAATGAGAATTAAACAAACAAAAATTTGCCATCCAGACAGGAATCGAACCTGGGGCCTTCTGCTACACCGCGCGTATAGCAGGAATGGGTCCGCAACGCTAATACTTGAAGAACAGACGACTTTTCGATTCGAAAACCGGTCCTAAGAAAATTTAAGAAACCCGTCACAACTTGATTTTTTCTCACAATCAACCCGGCCTATCCCTGATCTATAGTAGGTGAGAGTTGTGGCAAAGACGATGACTCTGATTGTTCTTTCATTTCTTTTATTGATCCTAAAAACTTGCGCGTTTTATTATTTGCTAGCCAGTTGAATCTTCCCTTCTGTATATTTAATTTTTTTAAATTTTTATATTACAGAATTCTGTATTTGGCGAAGGCCATTGTGCATATGAATCTGTTATAAGTGGAGAAATTATTGTTGGAGGTGTTTTTCTTCGACTTTTTATTGGAAATCCGTCTTGGGCGGTATTTTTCTACAATTTTTTTGAATTTTTTTTTAAATTACAGGTTCGTCATCCAAGACAATTTGCCACAGAATTGGTTGAACGTTTACTAGAAATTTGGCAATCAACAACAACAAAACAAACTAAAAATTTAGAAGAACAGCAAAGATGGAAAAGTCAATTAGATCAAGTTACTAAAGCTTTAGTTTTACTTGCTGCACATCATCCAACAACTGTTGATATGGTTTGTTTGTGTTTTTTTTTGAAAATTTTGAAAAAGAAAATTTTTCTTCTTTTCTGTCCGTACTTGGGATATTTTTTATTTTTTGGTCATCCAAGACAATTTTTTCCAAGGGTGTAGCCAGGGGAGGCTGAAGCCTTTTCCCCTCGAAGTGGAAGAAAGGCGGAAAATTTTTGGGAGCGAAAAGATTAATAAAGCGGATTTTTTTCGCCTACAACCTATGAAATAGCCCCCTCCCTCGAAATCGACCTCCTGGCTACGCCCTTGGCTGCTTTCCAGATCCCCAAAAATGGGGAATTTATTTTTTATGTTGGCTGGATCCATAATCCAAGCATTTAAAAGTACTATGATGGAATAGATAAAAATAACCGATCATAGAGTTGTTTTGGTGTTACAATAGATTGGATTCTGGTCCTGATCATAGAATTGGTCGTACGTTTATATAGGCCCTTTCCATGAATGTTTCTATTCCTTCCCCTCCTATCCAATTAATTAAAAAAAATTTTTTTTTAATTTTTTTAAAGATTCCTGCTCAAGGTTATTTACCACAATTGTGTCAATCTATGCAAATGGTTAATAATGACGAAGTTGCTAATTCTGCAATTGTTGTATTAAATCAAATTAGTGAAAATTCGGTAAATTTTATTTCAAATTAGAAAATTTTCCTTCTCTTTAAAGAATTGTGCTTCAGTTTTGTGTACAATCCCCTCTCTAATAAAAGGATTTTTAACTTGTATAAGAAGACAACCAGAAATGGCTCGGCAATGGTCACATGCTTTAAAACTTCTTTCCAATCATTGTACACATGAATTTGCTGAACAAATATTACTTTCTGGAATGATTGATTTTTTACTTCATTCGTTAGCTAGTTCAATGCCAGGTTTTTTAATTTTATTTTTTAATTTATTTTAATTTCAAAAAAAGGTGTAAATAACCCAGCCGCTGCAAAAGCTGAAATTGCCGATGCTCTAAAAAATTGTTGTCGTGATACTCAATTTGGTGAACGTATTTCCCAATTATTACAAAAATCGCCAATTTGGGCTCATTATAAAGATCAGAGACATGACCTCTTTTTGCCTACGATTACACAAACACAGGCTATTACAGGTTTTTTTTGAAAATTTTTTTAATTAAAAAGGGGTAACGAGGAGTAAGGCTTTCCGTTATCGAAGAAATAAAATTAATTTTAAAAAATCCGCAAAAATATTTGCGGACGTCCGCAAGAAATATTTGCGGACTTTTGCAGTTGCGGACAGCAGCAAATTTTAAATTTTGTAATTTTTAATCACTAAAAAATTAATTTTAGGAGGTCCAAGTGGTTCTGAATCTATTGCTGGATATTTAACTGAAGGAATGTTTGAACCTCCCCCAGCCCGAATACCTCCTCCCCCTCCACCAACATCACAACAACCTGCAAATTCTAATAATAAATTTAAATAAAAATGAGAGATTTTCTTCTAGTAAAGGTTTTCTAGTTAATTATATACATATAAATGACCATTCCGATTTTAAAAAAAATTTTATTTTTATTTTACTTTTAATATGTTTTTAATTATTTTTTTGCAATTTTTTCCGGGAATAGGTATAAAATAAATAATTTTTGGCTTGAAATATTTGGAAAAAAATTTTTTTTTGAAAAAAATAATTCCGGAGAAAATATACAAAAATTTAATTAATTATATATTTTTCTAAATATTGTGATTCAAAAAAAGGAAGAAAAAGTGCCCATCTTTTTTTAATTAAAAATATTAAACATATTATTTTTTCATGCTCATTTTAAAAAGAATTTTCGTTTATTCATTTAAAAAAATTTTTTGTGAAATTTAAAATCTATATAAATAGTATATATAAATTGATTGTGATTTTTATTTTTTTTAATTGTACAGCGATTTTTAGGGACACACCCAAAAGGACACGCGGCCATAAGGGGTACAGCCCGAAAAGGCGCGGGCCGAAAAGGCGCGACCGAAAAGGCGCGACCGAATAGGCGCCGGCCGAATAGGCGCGAGGCCATATAGGCGCCGGCCGAATAGGCGCCAATCATTTTAATTAAATATTCTGATTTATAATCAATTAGAATGGTCCCAACATCAAATGGGACCATGCTGAATTATAAAACAAAAATTTTACAAAAAAATTTTTCAAAATTAAAGAACCGGCCTAACTACAGTTTCCGTACCAGAATCAAAATTGGACATTTTATATGTCATTCGAAAGAGCTCGTCGAGCTGACTTCAAAGATAACAAAATCAGCTCGATTGGATGATCATGAACAAAGTTATGACCAACTGAATCTTCGCTGGAAAAACTGTTTTTGTGCTGCTACGGAGGGTAGGCCGGGCATGGTCTTCGCTACACGATGGCCGTGCTTCGCTGCGGTCGTGCTCGCTTCGCTCGCGGCGACCGTAGCGAAGCGGCGGCCGTCGTTCCGCTCGACATGCCCGGCTTCCTCCGCAGCGGCAAAAACTTTTTTCTGCGAAGGCCGTATGGGAGGGGGTGTTAATTAAAAGCTTGGCGCCTATTCGGCCGGCGCCTATATGGCCTCGCGCCTATTCGGCCGGCGCCTATTCGGTCGCGCCTTTTCGGTCGCGCCTTTTCGGCCCGCGCCTTTTCGGGCGTGTCCCGCCATAAGGGATTAAATCCCAAGCTTTAATTAATTTCTATTGGTATAAAATCGCCTGATTTTATGGCTGTATTTTATGGCTCCGCTCAAAAAGGTTCTTTTGAAATTTTTTTCCGTTTTGAATTTTTTTGAGGAAAAAAGTTGTAAATTAAACTTTTTGGTTATTTTTCGGTTTTCCCGGATTTTCGTAAGAAATTAGTAAGTTTCAGGAGGTTCCGAAAAAAATAGAAATGTTTTTTTAACAAAACTAGTTGGAAAAAATAATTTTATTTTTAAAAGCATAAACATTTTTTAGAAAAATATATTTATTTAAATACCAAAAACAGTCAATAAACTAATAAAATTATTTTGTTAAATATAATTGGCTTTTTTGGGGTGCTCAGTTCCTTCTCTTCCCATTAACCACAATTTGGTTTTTCCTTCTTTTCATCATTGTTTGAACTTATTAAATAGGGGAAGTTTTTATTAGGAAGAGTTATGTTCCCAAAGAAGCCTAAAAAACTTGGCTTGTCTCATATATTTAACTAAATACCAAAAATAGTCAAACAAAATTCCTCAAAGTAATCCGCATACACTGCGGTCATACCCCTCTTTTCTTCTTTTTTCAACCCTTCAAACTCTTTATCCATCTCCCGGGGCAGTAAAAGTCTTCTTCCCAATACCAACAGCAGCATGTATTTTATAGGGTAAACCTCCAATCCTCGATAATTGCTCAGTAGAAGAAATTTGGCCGGTTGCAGCAACGTGTTAGAAATTCAGAATTAGGTATTCCCCTCCCCCAAAAAAGCAAAATAGTTATTTAAGTACTAATATAATTAAATTTGTTTTTAGATATTTTCCCTCAAAAATATGTTCAAAAATTACAAAAATAAAAATAATTTACCAATCGCAGGTGCCTTGTTCAATATACGGCTCAATATTGCAATGCATATAGGGATGCCAGCCGATTCACCATCACGGTTTGCATCTTCCTAAAATAAAACTAGGTCACAAAAATTACACTTGTATCCATGCAATTAAAAGAGCGTGGTGATGGTGTGCCTGTGGCCGAGGCAAATATTGAAGATGATGGGGGAAACGAAGAAGGTGAGGCAAATGAGGAAAACGGAGATGCTGAGGGGAATGTTAATGATGAAGCACCGGCCGAGGCTGATATGAAATTGTTTTAAAAGAATTGAGTAAAATACTTTTATTTTGATAATTTATGCTGTTTTCTACGCCGCAGCATCAAGGGTGTATCCATGGGGGCGGTTTAGGGGGGGGGCTAACATGGGGTGTTCGCCAAAACAATGACTCTTTCAAAAGTTCTTGTTTTGTTTTTATTTGTAATTTGGTTGGTAGTGATGATAAGCCGACATTGTTTTGGCGAACACCCCATGTTAGCCCCCCCCTAAACCGATCCCATGGATACACCCTTGATGCTGCGGCGTAAAAAACAGCATAAATTATCAAAATAAAAGTATTTTACTCAATTCTTTTAAAACAATTTCATATCAGCCTCGGCCTTCATCATTAACATTCCCCTCAGCATCTCCGTTTTCCTCATTTGCCTCACCATCTTCGTTTCCCCCATCATCTTCAATATTTGCCTCGGCCACAGGCACACCATCACCACGCTTCTTTTAATTGCATGGATACAAGTGTAATTTTTGTGACCTAGTTTTATTTTAGGAAGATGCAAACCGTGATGGTGAATCGGCTGGCATTCCTATATGCATTGCAATATTGAGCCGTATATTGAATAAGGCACCTGCGATTGGTAAATTATTTTTATTTTTGTTATTTTTGAACATATTTTTGGGGAAAAATATCTAAAACAAATTTAATTATATTAGTACTTGAATAACTATTTTGCTTTTTTGGGGGAGGGGAATACCTAATTCTGAATTTTAAGACATTGTTGCCACAGGCATTATCTCTTCCACGGGGCGTTTATCAAGGATAGGAGGTTTACCATACAAAATCGAAGCCGCCGTTGGGATGGGGAAGAGGAGGATTTTACTACCCCGGGAGATGGATAAGGAGTTTGAAGGGCTAAAGAAAGAAGAACAGAGGGGTATGTCGGCTGTTATGCGGATTACTTTGAGGAATTTTGTTTAATTATCTTTGGTATTTAGTTAAATATATGGGACAAGCCAAGTTTTTTTGGCTTCTTTGGGAACATAACTCTTTTCAAAAAACTTACACTATTTAATAAATTCAAGTAATGATGAAAAGAAGGAACAACCAAATTTGTGGTTAATGGGAAGAGAAGGAACTGAGCACCCCAAAAAAAGCCAATTATATTTAATACACAAAAATTCCCTGGAAAAAATACCAACATTTTCTTGCAAGAGCGTCAGATCTCTCTTAACATAATCGGAATAAAACCAGAAAATGTGGAAACGAAAAAAAATCAAAAAATAAATCAGAAAAAAATTTTTTTATCAAAAATTTATAACCTCAATCGTCGTCTCTTCCTTTTACAAATTCCACCTCCTCCATGCAGCTTGCTGTGTAATCCTAAACTCCAAATTTCTCCAAGTCTTTTAAACCAACGAATTTTGTAACTACAACGAGTATATCTGCATTTAAAGTACCAAATCAACTCGTCATGAGGTCGGTATTTTACAGCAAAATGTTGTGTCAAATTTTCTTGCAATTTTTCTTCGTCATAAACACCCTTAAAAGTCAACAAAAATTTTTGGAAATTTTTTTTAAAAAAACCTCAGCTACTAATTTCCATCCAGAAAGCTCCATTTCATGTGACAAACGTCCATCTTCTCCATCTTTTTTTGGACTTGGCGTCTTTCCTTTAAGTAATTGTTCGGGAGTTTTGGTGACTTGATGGGAATGTTCGAATCTATAAATTGTGGTTAAATTTTTCAAAAATGCACTATAATGTTACTTAAACCAGAATTGATAAAATTTGGGGTTTTGATACTTGAAATGACCCTCTGAAAGTTCAAAAAACACAAAATAATGAGATTTGACATTGACTGAAGTGCTTTTGAAGGTCGTTACAAAATTTGTACGTTTCCGTATGACTAGGAAGAATGATACTTATCGACCTAAACCTTATTTTAATCGGTAGTTGTCTTTCTTCGTAAATCGGTCAGAACAACATAAAGCCCTAGTCAAAAACAAAGAAAATTGCCTGAATTGAAGGAAGAGTGAGTGAACGAATGTGTCCACAAGAAATTTTTACTAAATTATGGAAGAAAAAATGACTGACCAATTCGTACTACAACTAAATTGCAGGGGGAGGAAATAAGTACCCAGACAGAGCCCCTTTTACTTGGCTGGTTTACAAACTAATCTCAAATAAATTTAATTAAAATTCAAAACCTTTGGTAAATCAGCCCTTTATTCTTAACCAGCAGCATTTGATAAGGACATTTCAGGTCAAAACGTTGAGAACAAAATAAAACAGCCCATCGTTTTGTCTCTGTACACATTTTGAGCCCCAATAGAGGATAATGGCGTTCAACAAAAGCTCCAGTTCCCAAATAATTCCATTTATTTCCGAGACGGTCAATAAAAGGCTAAAAAATTTAAAATTAATTGGGTTATGTAAAATTAAAAAATCAACTGCAGGGATTCGAACCTACGACTCCTTACTACCAAAACTAACCAACTTCCAACTTAACCAAAGCGTCACCAATTAAGCAAAATTAATTTAAACCTTACTAGAGGGTTGGGGCCAGATTCGGCCCGGTCCTAAAGATCGAGTCGGGTCTTGAATTTTGGCCCGAAAAAGACTCGGTCGGGTAATACTGAAGAATACAGACCCGATTTTTTCCTCCCCAATTTTCCCCCTATATTTTTACAAAATGGTCAGACTTTTTCCTTTCTTCCATCCAATTTGCCTTTCTAATTTTTTGCCTGCAATCAAACAAAAAGGATTATTTAATTTTATACAAGTGCAGGTACATGCCAAAAACAAGTAAAAAAAGGATTATTTTTTGGTTTAGTGAGGAAAAACGGGAAAAAATATCAAAAATAATCCTTTTTGTTTGTTTGCAGGCAAAAATTAGAAAGGCAATTTGGATGAAAGAAAGAAAAAAGGCTGACCATTTTTGTAAAAATATAGGGGGAAAATTGGGGAGGAAAAAATCGGGTCTGTATTCTTCAGTATTACCCTCGGTCGGCCCGCCCGAGAAAAATGACTCGGACGTCGGCCCGACTCGAAAACCCCAACCCTATTTACTAGTCAAAAAACAAACCTGTCCATCAGTTAAATTTTGATTTTCATCGTTTCCACATAATGATCCAGTTTTATTGTTATTCTTTTCCTGCTCTGCACTTTCAATGTTAACGACATCAATAATATCATCAACTTCCTTTTCCGGGCTTTCAATGTTAACGACATCAATAATATCATCAACTTCCATTAGAAAAATTTTTTATTTGCCTTTTCAATCCTTACCCTTTTCTATAAATAAAAAAATATTAAAAATATGTATAAGCTAGACATAACGGGACGGGACGCGCCCGAGTAGGCGCGGGCCAAGTAGGCGCACAGCAGACTAGCGCAGACAAAAGAGGACGTAGCGGAATTGAAATTTTGGTTATTTTTATTTGTTTTTGCCATTTATACAAACCCAACACGGAACGGTTGCGAGGTGTCCGACCTAAAAACGGTCGAGACCGGGCTCGTTCGATAGAGAATGTGCCCTTTCTAGCAAAGATATCCCCTCTCCGTGTAAGGATAAATTGGGTTGTAAAAGGACGCTATTTAGTTTTAAACAAACTTTTCCCTCAAAATTGACATAATGCCAAAAAAAATTTTTAAAGACATTTTGTCCACAAAATAGAAAAAAAGATAACGTGGTGAGAGAAAAAGAGTAAAATTTTTTGAGGAAATTCTTGAAAATTTATTTTTTTCTGAAAATTTTTTTTTAATTTCAGCTTTTTTAGTAATTTAATTAAATTTTTATAAAAATTTTCAAAAAAATGGTCAAAATAACCAAAACTACAAAAGAAAGTAAACAACAACAGCGAGTTATAAACAAAAATCTTCAAAAAGACAAACTCTCGCCTGAAAAAATTATACAAAAACAACGACTTTTGGAGTTGAGTTTTGGAAAATTGAATGCTGAGCTGGCCAAAAAAGATTCTGATTTGCTTAATAGTTATGGAACGAAGAAAAATATTTTTATGGATATTCTCAAAAGTAAGTGTGATTTAATTGTTGAGTGAATTTGGAAAATTGGGGACATGGAAACGGGAAAGTGTTGAGGGTATAACATTCCTTCGTGTGAAGGCCGTGAACTAAAACCCCTCTCAAACTTCATCCGATTTTAAAAAGTGCTGGTTGAGTGACATTGGAGAGGACGTGTTTCTCGTTTTACGGGGAATCAAGAAATGCGAAATCTAAAATAAGGAAACACAGAATAGGATCCATGGATCAAGGACGTAACCGGGGGTCTAAATGGAGGGCTAAGAGAGGGTCCCGCTTGCTACGTCCTTGCCATGGAGGAGATCCATGGACTCTCTCCGAATCCAGTCATTTGACGGGTTATTCCAAACTTTTGGACGTTTTTTCGTTCCTAAACCTAGCCCGACTTTCTATATTTTCTCGACGCGTTCCATTCCTGCTTGAGTCCATATCCTTTATCTAGTGGTAAACATTCTCATTTAATTTCCTCTTTTTTTAGTTCCTCCAGTTATTGACTTGGGAACTGTTGACGATAATATCAGCAACAAAAGCGGAGCTAACAATGTTAGCTTACCACGACTACCAACAAAAACACAAATAAATACAAAACAAGAACTTGTGAAAGAGTCATTGTTAAGTCGACATGGACACGGAGTTGTTTTGTTAAATTCTCCAAGTAATACAGAAGAAGAGGAAGAGGGGGATATTACTTTAATTGAAGAGAATAGTACCAATAAAAAATTGAAACAAAAAATTCCGAAAGGAGGAAAAGTTGAGAAGAAGAAGAAGAAATTAATGCCAACTTCAGTCAAATCTTCAACCTCAAATCTTCAGTCTTCCCCAATTATTTCTTCAACGGTTAATTTTTCGTCTTCTCAGGGAACGGTTGCAAACACTTCAATTTTTTCTGATATTGATTTGCGTGAAGAAACTGGTGTTATAAAATTGAACAAAAAGTTTTTTTTTGTTATGTTAGAGAGAAATTTTGGGTTTTTTTGGTTTAGTGGGAAAAATTTCGTTTTTGTGGAAATTCTTCGGATATTAGAACAGAACCAATCCTCGGTTTTTCGGTTTGGTCTAAAACTGACAACCTAGTTATGTTAGTGGGAAGTTTCGGTTTTTTTGGTTTGGTGGGAAAAGTTTCTGTCTTGGTCATCCATAGGGTGTGGGTTCGAATCCCATTCATGGTAAATAATTATTTTGAGTTGATATTCTGTATAAAACTTTCTGGGCATGAATAAATAAAATTTTTGGGTTGTTTTGAATTTTTTACTTTGATTTTGTTTAGTTATTGCATAAATAATTTATAAAATATTTAGAATTTTAAAATATTTTTTTTAAAGATTTTATCTCGTCAATCAAAACAGAAAACAGTTGCACAAATAAAAGAACAATTGTGTCATAGTTGTGTTACCAACATTGAAAACGCGTCAGTTGAGCGTGTTCAAAGTGATTTGGATTTGAGACAAAAGGTTTTTTGGATAAATTTTTTTGAAATTTTTCAAATTCTTTTAAAGCTCCCACAAGTGTCTCAACCATCAACTAGCAAAAATTCTGAAAATAGGCGTTTGAGCTATACGAGAGAAGAAATTTTAACTATTCGCCCTCCAAAACAAGAAAATTCTGTCGAGGAGTTATCACTTGATCATAAAATTTTTGCAAGTCGAATACGTTATGAACATCGTTCTTCAAAAATTGATTTGTCTAAAAATTATAAACTGGTTGGGCTTCGATATTATCAACAAATTTTGGTATTTTTTAAAATATTTTTTAATTTTGGGGTATTTTTGGGGGATATTCTTTTATGTTTAAATCGGTTTTTAAATTATTCATTTAGTAGTTGCGATGGCCGAATAGTTAGGGTGTTGGGTTTTACTGGGGAATGGGGTGGGTTCGAGTGTTTTTGGGGTAATTTATTTTATAATAGTATTTTTTGACTTGTTTTTGATTTTTGAGTGTTTTCTATTTATTTTTGGTTTCATTTTTAATTTTTTTTTCATTAAGAAATTTTTTTAGGGTAAAGAAATTTTTCCCAACACAAATAAATTCCTTCGAATACCATTGTCTGTTGTGTCATTTAACGTCCTATGTCAACACTATGTGAATGTAATGTCTCATTTATATCAACATTTAAGGGGTGCTAAAAGTGCTCATAAATTATGGAATTCCAGAAAGGTTTTTTAAAAAGATTTTTGAGAATTTTTGAAGACTTTCGCCAATTTTAAAGCAAAAACTTGAGTTAGAATTTGATCGGATTGATGCAGATATTTTTTGTTTACAAGAAGTTCAAGACGTTCATTATGAAGAATTTTATCTTCCTTATTTTACAAGCAGTTTTGTTTTTTTATTTTTAATATTTTTTTATTTTTTTCAAATTAAGGAGGATTCCAAGGCCTTTTTACTCGTAAAACGGGCGGTTTACAAACCCCTGATGGATGTGCTATCTTTTGGCGTCAATCAAAAATTACTTTACTTTATATAAACCAAGTTTCTTATAATTTATTTATCCCTCCTACGATGAATAGTCCAAATATTGGACAAGTGGCTATTTTTGGATTAAATGATTGTCTATACAATTCTTCAGCATTTTGTATTTCAAATACTCATATATTTTTTCAAATGAAGAAGGGAGCTACAAAATTGGCACAAATAGCATATTTATTGGGGCATATGAAAAAGGTTTGGTTTTTTTGTTATTTTTATTGGATGGCGTGGGGAGGGGGGTTGCTTTGGTTCGGGATAGGATTACACTTGTCATTCGAACCCCGATACCAAAAAGACGGACTTTTTTCGCCCTGATACTATAAAGACTACATCAGGCCGTAGCTGCTTGCCCCCCCCCCCTTCGAAAAAATCCTGGCTATGGGCTTGACTTTCATTATAATCTCTGAAACCCGCTCTAGAGAAGATTTGGAAAAAGACCATTTATTCCTGGTCAGTTTCAATTTTTCCCCATGTCATCCTTCGTTTGGACATTTGTTTCATGGGAATGTATAAGGTCTAAAGTTGGATACTTGATTCTTTTGATTTAATGTTTATTTTAAATATCTGTTTGCCCCCTTTAAATTCGAATTTCTTTGTTTTCTTATTTTTCACTGATTTTTAGGCAGAAACTGAATTTGTGGCTTCAATGAAGTTACAAAAAGACCCCATAAGAAAATACAATTTTGTTGGGCATATACTTTGTGGTGATTTTAATATTGAACCTACGTCTCCATTACATCGGTTTATTTAAGTTTGTAAAATTTAAGTGTTTTTTAGTTTTTTAATGGAACAAAAAGCTGACTTGCGAGCAATGTTTAGTAGTACTATGGCGTTGAGACCGACTTCTAATACAATTCCTTCAACTCCGCCATCAAGTACCAGTATACCTCTTGCATTGATGAAAATGACCAAAAATTGTGAACTTGGTATATATTTTATTTTTTTGAACTATGGTACATAGCACCCCGACACCGACTTTTTTTTTGGCAAAAACCTCGAACCTCGAAGGCTCAACTCCGAGAACCCCCGGTTCCCCGACGATCCCGCCCCCGAAGGCTCGAGATCCTACCCTATTTTAAACTAACAAATAGGGAAAGTTGGAGGGTTTTTTGTCTATTTTGATCTTTAACAGAATCACAAATTTGGTTAAATCGTTTCAAAAATTTTAGAATTTTTATTGGTCTCTTTTTAATCTTTTTCTTCTTTTTTAGTTGATTCAAAGGACCCTGTTGATCCTCAATTATTTATTGTTAAACAAAACACTAGTGACTTTCTATCTCACGACTTTTCGTTTGCTTCAGTCTATGAACATTTTAATGCTGTTGGAGAGGTTTTTTTGAATTTAAAATAATTTTAAAAAATATTTTTTTTAGCCAGAAATCTCCAGTTATCATATGGAAGAATCTACCCCAGATTTCATTTTGTATACAATTCCAAAAAATACTCAAAAATTTGAAACTTCGCAAAATGTTTGTTTTTTTAAAATTTTTATTATAATTTACATGGTGTTTTGGGGGGGTTGTTTGGATAGGATCATTTATGAGTTTCTCTAATAGACCCCGACTTTGAAGCCCTATAACTTTTCGATTTGGGGAATCAGGGCCAAAAAAGCCAATAATTGTCAATAGGTTATCGACCCTGCTCTACACAATGGTGCATAAAACGTGAAATTTTTGGCTACAGTTCAAAATGTTCCCCTGTAAGTTTAGAAAAAGAACTGGAAGGTTAAAAAATGTTTGCTTTTTGGTCTATGCTTTGGATTCACAAAACCCCCGGGGTCTTATGTTAGTGTTAGTCCATATCTCTCTCTAGGGGAAGGGTGTCATCTGCTGTGATATTTAAAAACTAACAAAAAAATTTTAAATTATTTTTTAAAAATATTTTTAGGCTTCTACCAGCGCTGATTCTGACAACAAACAAAATCAACTTGCAATCGAAGGATTTATTCAATTGAGAAAACGCCTTTCACTTCCAACCTTAAATGAATTGGAAAAAGCTTGTGGAAGACTTCCAAATGAACAATACGGTTCTGATCATCTTTTATTATGTGCAGAATTTGATATTCTTTGCCCTATAATTAAGCCTTGATTTTCTTATAAAAATTATTGTTAATTTCATAGTTGTTAGAATAAATTAAAGTATAGTTTTTTTTAAAAATTCATGCAATTTTTTAATAAAATATTTAATTTGTTGAATATTTTTTTGGATTAATTCTACGGATCATCCGAATTTTATATTTTTTGTTTTTAAGGTTTTCTCGCGTGACAAAATGTTGTCATGCTTTCCTTTTCTTACCGAAATGAAAAAGTTGCAGTCATGGGGCATTTTTAGGATGGTGAAAAGGTTTTGGGGTTGTGAAGAATTTTCCTTATTGAAATTTACAAAAAGAATATTTCTAGTAGGAAATTCTTTTTTTGAAAAGTGGCTTGGGTTTGTTCTTTTTTTTGGATTTTTTTAGACCACATTGCTTGCTAATTTTATAAGTTAGGGGTTAATTTTGAATAGGTAAAAAATAATAATTTTGTTGGTATATTTGCCCCTAAATGTTCCATGCGAGGCGTTTCCTTTATTTGTTTTTTAAATATTTTTTGACTAATAATATTATTTTTTTTAGAAATCAATTTATTATTTATTCAATCTCTTCAATAATTCTTATTAAAATGGCCATTGAACTAGATATTTTATCAAAATTGCCTTTTTGGAAAAAATTGAGAAGACAAATATGTTTGTGATTTTTAATTATTAAAGGTTTAATTTTTTTTTTATTTTTAGTGTTAAAAGTAGTCCATGATAATTTTTTTGAGTATGATGATTGTTTTGTGCCCACTAATATTGTCCATTCTGCTGTAAGTTAAATGAGGTTATTTTTGTTAATTTTTTTGTTTTTCAGCAAAAAAAGAATATTGCGGATATTCGTGAAGATGATCGTGAAACTGTCCTTTTTGACCATTTTTTGATCAACTGCAGACGAGTATATTTATTTTTTAAATTTAGTTTGGGGGATTTTTTGGGAAGGATTTAACTCTAAATTGTTGCCTAGTAATTGGTGTTGTCCAAATTGACCTTCATAGATCGGAAAGTGCCTCTAAGATTATCCCTGTGAAGACCCGAAACGGTAATTCCAAAGCTTGTCCCCCTCTTTTTCTTTTTTTCCTTCCTTAAGAATAACAAAAAAAGGGGGACCAGCCTTGTAATTACCCCCAAAAATTTATTTCCTCGTTGCTTTTGGTTTGATACCCCGCCAGTATTTTTTAAAGATAGTACTTTTTTAGATCGGGCTTGATTTGGATTCTGATTGTGATTTTTCTTGGATCCAAAGTCTCAAAATTAATGATTTTCAGAGTTTTTTTTTAAAACAAAATTTTTTAAGGGAATGAATACTCCATTTATTCAATGTGTTCAAGCAGAAAACAAAATTATTTGGTTTTGGTCTGATGATTATTTCAAAAAACAAAATGCCAATTTATGTCGATGGTTGGATGATTGTTTTAGAATGGCTACAACACTATTCGAATTACAATTGATTACTACACGTAAATTTTTATTTGAATTTTTATTTTATTTTACTTGGGCATTCGATGGTTCATAATATTTTCTTGACTTTTTCCTTTTGTACTTATTCAAAAATATTATAACTAGGGTTGCCGTTTTCGGTTCGAGCCGACGTTCGGTGCATTTTTTTCGAGCTTATGTTAGGTTTTTTCGATTCGGTTCGTTTTCAAGTTTTTCGAGCTGAAAAGCGTCGGCTCGCTCGATCTTTCGAGTTTCGGGTCGAGCGAGCCGGCAACCCTAATTATAACTAGCCTATATCTTTTCGGCGGTGTAGTTGTTAAATCCCTGGGTTCTTGCTGAAGTGTTCATGGTTCAATTCCTTTTGGTGCTAAACTGTTTTAAATTTTGTCTTCATTTATTTTCCCTTCAAAAAATAATTATTTGTAACATTTAAAAATTTTTTAAATTATTTTTTTAAACATTTTAAGGTCTTCGCAATGACAAAACTCGTGGTTACATGATCAACGTTTTCTGTTCCTTTGTCGTTCGTTTTCTTCGTAAAAATGTTTTTGATCCATTGGATGAATTATACAAAATGGAAGGAAAGAATTTGCTTACATTACAAAAATGTTGTATGGATTTACATTCAAAATTTTTGAAGCCTCTCTTTAGGATTGCAAATCAAATTGAAAAGGTTTTTTTCTATTGTTTTATTTTTTTTGCCAAACACAAGGCTTTTTTTCTTACTATCCCCATTTTTGGCATTTATGACCGTTCTGGTTTGGGTTGACTGGATCGAACATCAGGGGGAGGGTTTAATTAATTTAGTAATGCAGCTGATGGCAGGAGTGTGGAGGTGTTTGATTGACTGATAATTGGTGGATTAGCTACTTGTGGGGAGGTTTCGAATTATAATTTGCTACGAATCAGTAATGTCACCCTATCCCGAAACATGCACTTTAGACTCGAAACCCTAATCTCTTTTCCATTGTAATCTCCCTAACTAACCCGACTCGAAACTCGACGACTGTTTTCTCAACCAGTGAGACATTTCTGATTGGAATACTGTTTGTGGACATTTAATTTTTAATTTTTTCCGAATCATTTTCCTTTCAAAATATTTTATTTTTAATTTAATATTTGGCTTTATTTTTACAAAATTAATTTTTTTTCTAGGAGGACATAATTGGCGGAGAATTTATCAACTTTTTATTTGATCAAAAATCCCTACACGAAAATCGTTTTTTAACTTCCATTTTGGATGATATAATTTCTTTGTCAATTGAAAGATATTACCAAATAATTGTTGAATGGGTATCCTCATGTACTTTAGCTTTAGATGTTGGACATGAATTTTTTATTTGGGATTTGAGGAAACAAAATGTTGTTGATCGGTCTAGTTTTGATGTAACGGGGAAATTGGATTGGTCGGAGTAAGTGTTTTTTTGAAAATTTTTGAAATTTTCTAAGAAAATTTTAAAAATGTATTTTTGGTATTTAAAAACGTTTTTTCATCAGAAAATTAACCCTTGCCTATTATAAATTTGTAGCTAATGACTTTAAAAATTAAAAAAATTTTTATTTCATGAAAATTAACTCTTTTCTTCAAAAACTTGCTTTGTTTTAATTAATTGGTGAACTAAAAATGTTTGTCCACCAACCGGGTTCGAACCTTTGACCTTTCTATAGTGTGAACTAAAAGCTATCCCACTTGACCAAAAAAAATATTTTTTTTGTTTGTACTATGTATGGTTCGAATCCCAGCCACGAAAATTGATTTTTTTATTTGTTAAAATTTTTTTTTTTAATAAAAAAAAATTTTTTTTTCAAGTTTTGACAATTATTTTATTTTAATTCCACAATTAATTCCTGTTGATTTTTTACCTGTGAAAGATCAAATTTTTAAATTTGGAAAATATTTGTATACAATGAGGCAACAAAATGCTGGTTTTCTTTTTTTTAAATTTTTTAAAATTTCAATTTTTTAAAAGGTTTAACTCTTCTTTCATTTCATTATTCATTGGAAGCTTCAGTTTTTAAAAATCTTTCACTTGGCAAATTTTGTGATAAAATTAATGAATTATTTGAGAAATGCTCTACAAATACTCTTGAACATTTTAAACAAAAATATGATATTATTAATTTTGCAAAGTTTGTTTTTTTCTTTTTTTTTTAATTCAAATTTTAAATAGGATTTTCTATTTTATTAAATAAATTCCTGGTTTATTAGTTTCCTTTATTCTCACCAATCACAATTTGACTGTTCCTTCTTTTAATCATTGCTTGAATTTATTAAAAGATCTCCTTTCTATTTTCAATATTTTTTAGTGACGAATCCCGCTGGATTAATTTCGGTAATCCTATTTTTCGTTGAAAATCGTGATTCCGGGACGAGATCCCGTAAAATCCCGTAATGTGTATCGACCCGTGCCGACCTCTAGAAAACGTGAAGAGGAAACCTGAGTTTCCAAAACAATCAAATCATTTTTTGATTTTATATAAGATTAACTAAAAATTTGATGTCTACATTTTAGCCTCAATTTTTTTTTGAAAAAAAACTTAAATTTACGTTATAAGCCCAACTCGAAGAAAACTTGATTTTTAATTAAAAAAATTTTTTTCAGAAAACTTCCCAGCTTCTTTATTGGATTAAATACAAATTGGATATACGAATTGGGAGAATTATTTGAAAAAAATAATTTTACAAATATTGATATTGAAAAATTGACTTCAAATAAATTAAATGGACTTCTGACACAAGCATTTCGATATGCACAACTTGACACTTCTATGCATTATAAATATTTTGAGTTTGTGAAATTTTTTTGAAATTTTATTAATTTTTAGTCAAGTTTCATTTAGCCTTTTAAATTTTTTAAAAAAAATTTTCGAGAAATTCTTGAGGACGTAGCCAGTTGAGATCGGTCTGGATCTGGATCCAGTCTGGATTTTTTCTTGATCCAGAGTCAAGATCCAGGCATTTTTTGATCGTCCTGTATTTTCTCTGTATTTGGATTTTTCCTGAATCCAGATCAAGAATCCTGTCCAGGTTACTAACCTAAATCCAGATCTAGGATTTTTGAGAATACCGATCTCTATTTAGTAGCCAGGGGGGCTTCTGTGTCTAAGGATAATTGACTTTTTTAATAATTGACTGTTTTTGGAGCTCCTCCTGAAACCCTGCCTACGCTCTTTTAAATTCTCGAAATCCCTGAGGGATTGGAATTAAAATTATCATTTTTCAGACTCAATATCTCTCCCTTTACCAAAATCAAAAGTGAAGGAATTACACCCAAAAAAGGCACATTCCCAGCTTTAGAATTAAATATTGCCCAAAACAATCATGTACTTAAATTGGCTTTTCCTGCAAAAATATTGGAGCCTTATAGAAGAGTTTTCTTTCTTTTGTTTGTTATTAATCGGGCTAGATATTTGGTTCATATGTAAGTTTTTTTTAAATATTTTTGTAGAGGCTTAAATTAGGCATTAGCTTTAGGGTAGGGAGTCCGGTCCAAGATCAATTCGGGCATCGAATTTTGGCACGAAAAAGACTCGATCGGGTCGGCCCGATAAAAATGAAGCCGAAAAAATGACTCGAACGTCGGCCCGACTCGAAACCCTCACCCCTAATTAGCTTAATTGAATCTCGTGGCCTTTTTAGAGGTCTATAGCTTTTTAAGAGAAAAAACAATTTCAAAGTCCAAATTTGGTTAAATGGTTTAATAGGGAAAATAGGAGGTTCTTCATGGTCGAAAATGAAAACTCATTCAGTAGGCTTTTTTAAATTTTATTTTTTTTGTAAACAAATTTTAAAATTTTAGGAAATTTTTTGGAAATTTTAGGAAATTCTATTTGCGTGAAAACTTCAACAATCCTTGGGCTGTACAAGAATGTGCCACAATTTATTTGTTTAATAGACTTATAAATGTTTACCAAGAATATATTTGTGGAATTGCTGCTAAAGAATACAACAATTTTGTTAAAAAATTGGAAAAGGTCTTCTAGTTTCTTAGCAAAACTTTAATTTTGGAAAAAATTAAAAGCTTTTTGAGGTTATCTGTAAAGGTTGAAGACCATTTGGTGGCCCGATCCGGCCCGGTTCGAAAGATTGAGTCGGACATCGTATTTTGGCCCGAAAAAGACTCGTTGGGCCGGTCCGTTAAAAATGAGGCTCAAAAAATGACTCGAATTTCGACCCGACTTTAAAATCTCAACTCTATTGAAGATCATTTGGTGTGGCACTGTTGTTTACCTCTCACCCCCTTCAATCATTTGTCTAAATATTCAAACCACTTTTAAGTTCTGTTTAATTTCTAAACCTATTTTTAGATAGGACTCCTATATAAGTTTTTTTTCTAAACGTCGATTTGTGTAATATAGAGAACACTTTAGAATTTTTATTTGATTTTTCTATTAATTTTTAAGGTCAAAAATTTGGACGAATTGGTACAAGTTCAATTAGAATATATTCATATATTTATGGAAAATGCCAAATTAGACCAAGAATATTTACCAATTAGACAATTAATTGAAGGGATTGCTAATCAATTTTGTTTGTATGCTTGTAATGAATTTGTAAAATTTTAAAAAAAATTTCTAAATTAAAAAATTAATTTTTTAAGACTTTCTTTGAATTAAATAAATCTGTTAGTCCTTTTGTTGGAAAACTAAAACATTTTCTTTTAACAAATCGAAAAGTGGGGGAATTAAAAAATCTGTGAGTTTTTTTTAAAGAAAAAATTTTTCTGTTAAAGTAGGGTCTCATTATAAGACTCACTTTGTAAGTAAAGCTTATGTCTATCGGTACACCTCAATTGAGTCCCGACTCAATTGAGTCCCGGACCCTATAACTTTTGAAGGGATGGTCACTTTTTGTTACTCTTGGTACCATTGGATATGGCATTAAATAGGCTACAATATACCAAAAAATCAAAATTCCTGACTGACTGGTAAAAAAGTTATGATCGATAAAGTGCCGAAAAATCAGATTTTTTTGAAAAAGTTAGTTTTTAAATCATAACTTTTTTATCAATCGGTCAAAAATTCTGATTTTTTGATATGTTATAGAGCTTTGGATTCTCTATCCAATAATACCAAGAACATGGAAAATTGACCATTCCTTGCTAAGTTATAGGGCCGGGACTCAATTGAACTGCTCCGTATGTCTATTTATTTCCTAAGTCTATCCTCCAAATATGGGTCCGTCCTTGGTGAAGGTGCTGGTTTTCGATCTCCTTAACCTCCTAGCTAGGAGTTATCAGGCCTGCGGTAAATCTAATAGAGAAGAATAAGAGCATGAACAATCCATACTTTTATTATAGCTAAAGGAGAATTGACAAGACCATTCTAGTTTTAATGTACATTTCTATTTATGAAATGGGGTTTAAATTTGATTGATCGGGAGAGGATGCATATTACTCCTAGAGTTAACCTACCCACATACTTGGGAAGAAATGGCTCTCATACTTGGCCTTCATACTTGGGAAGAAATATACAATCTTTATTCCCATATGGTGTATCTCTTAATAGACTATTAGAATTTTTAAATTTTCTTTCAGTTTGTTTGGTAGTTCATATTCAGAAGTTGGAGAAGCTGCTGGTTGTTATGAACCCCTATGGAAATTACTTCAGTATTCATATTAAGATAAATGAAAAAAATAAATGAAAATGAAAAATTTTAAATTATTTAATTTAAATTATGATCTCTTATTTATATTCTCTGACAATAAATTTAAGGAAAAAATTAGGAGTTTTTATGATTGGTTGGCAATTTGTCTCATTTGGTTTTTTATTTTTTTAATTTCTCTCATTGAAATTTGTCTCATTTTCTCTAATTAAAATAACTTTAAAAAAAAGTTTTTTGTAAAAGAAAAATTAAAAAAATTTTTTTTAAAAAATTTAAATTTTTATGACGTCTACTGGGGAAATATTAAAAAAAATTTTTTAACAAAAAAGATTTATTAAAATATAAATTATTTGGTGTTGGCAATATTTTAGTCTTCCTCTTGTCTATTTAATTAAATATTCAATTAATTTTTTATTCAAAAATTAAAAAAAAAATTAAAAATTCGCACACAAAAATGTATTTTTTGAACATTTTTCTAATTTTCCCAACCCTTTTGCTTCTTTTAAAATTAATTTTGGGTGCTGAGAAGGATGTAGAATGGGGATATGAGGAACACAATGGACCTGATAAATGGGTACAAAAATGTAAGGAAGGAAAGAATCAATCACCTATTAACATTCAAACAAAAACCCTAAAAATAAATTGTTTGGATAAACTTGAACTTGTAAATTACAATAATTCTGGGGCTGTTGAAGTAAATAATAATGGTCATGGAGGTAAAAAAATATTTTTAGAAAATTAAAAAAATAAAATTAGAGGAAAAAATTTTAGGGAGAGAAAATTTGCGGATAAAACTTGCGGAGAAAAATTTGAGGACAATTTGCTGAGAAAATATTGGGATGAAATTTCCGCAAAAAATTTGCGGACAAATCAAACTTGCGGGCAATTTTTCGTTGAAACAACATTATTAGTGATCACCCAACCATAAATAAAAAAATTTAAAAAATAAAATACATAAATAGAGTTCAATTAAAAAATATTATACAACAAAAGGAGTCGAACCCCTTATCGCCTCCTTTTGTCTTTCTAGTTGAAACCGGCGACTAACCAATTAAACCATGAAATCCAAAATTCAAAAAGCGCGGAAAAATAAAAATTTAAAAATTTAATATCGAAAGACCTTTAAAGAAATTAATTTTAACAGTTATTGTCAAAGGATTTGAACATTGGGATCCAAAGAAGAGACCCTATATTACTCGTGGAGGGCTAAAAGGAAAATATGTTCTGTTACAATATCACTTTCATTGGGCAGTTGATCATTTGGAGGGGAGTGAACATTGTATAGACGACAAGTATTATCCTGTTGAGCTTCATTTAGTTCACGTCAAAGAAGGGTATACTTTAGCCGAGGATTTGGAAAAGCCTGATGGAATTGCTGTTGTTGGGTTTTTTATGAAAATTGGGAAAATTGGAAGAAAAATGGAAAATATGGAGGAAGCAATGAAGCTAGTAGTTAAACACGGTAATTAAACAAAAAAGAGAGATTTCTAAGAATACCGAGGCTAGGCTATTCAGAATAGAAAAAAGATGGGTATTCGGAAATTTTTGGTGTGATATCGGTTCCGAATCGGATACCGTGATTTCCCAGGATCCTAATCAAGGTCTTGCTGATGGAGTAAAGCATAGGTTTAGACATAGGAAAATTTTTTGGTCTTTGACATCTCTAAAAATCATTCAAGAAATATATCTTTAAAAAACTCTCAGATTCATCAACAACAATTTCCAACTTCACTATTGGTGCACTCCCGAAGACTTTGGACAATTTTTATCGTTATCAAGGGTCTTTAACTACTCCAAGTTGTAGTGAATCTGTAACTTGGACAATAAATGCAACACCCTTAACTATTGATAAAGAACAGGTAAATTACGGGTTGACCCTCGATTCCCCATCCGAAAATGATTTAGAGGCATGACATTCCCGTACATTCTCGTTCCCAGAAAAATAAATGTCGGAGAATTCCTGGCCTTCTGAAACTCAGAATTTTCGCCTGCGGTCTTAAGATGTGACAAAATAGGGTCGGAGCTGGAGCCACAAAGCCTAGAATAGCTGATAAGCCCCAAACGTATTTCCCGAAAAAGTTTAGCCCAGCGAATCGGAAACGAACCCTAATGTAAATTACCTATGTATATACAGTCTTGCTCATTGTGTGATACTCCCAGAGTTATACATACCTTCTATTTAACATGCATTCATTATAAGATAACATTTTTCCTTTCCAAGGTTGTATCCTCAGATTCTAAAAAATAATTCTTTCAAAAATTCTTTAGCTTCAATTACTCCGTTCAATTTACGGCAAAGACGATCAAAACCCTTTAAAGATAAATAAGCGTCCAATACAACCAATAAATGACCGGGAGATTCAATTACGCTCATCCATACTTTGCAGAAAAATTAAAAATTGTGGGGATATAAACGAAAAGAAGTCTAAAAATGAATAAAAATTGAGGAATGGAAAATAAAATATTTTCAAAAAATAACAAGAGAATAATTTTATTTAAAATAAAAAATACCCATAAAATGACTGTTTTATTCCTAATTTTGAGGAAAAAATTGTCTTATGTATGTGTAAACCTCAAGCTTTTCAATTATAAAAAAGTTTTCTTCCCAATTTTCGTAAAAATATTATTCTATTATTTATTTAATAGAGGCGCTAACACAACACGTCAATTTCTGTAGTTTTTTTTAAAAACTTCAACCAACACCCAAAGAATTTTAGTTTCCTTGTTTATCCACACATTTTAATTGATAGACAATTTTTTTCAGACCATACAAATAATTTTCCTTATTTTTCTTTCAACAAAATTTTGTCTTTATTACACAAAAATATAGGCCTACATTCAAAAAACCCCCCAAAATTTATCAAAATTTTGTGGATGATGAGCTCTAGTCATCTGACACAAACGCAATCTTCGGCCCTCTTTTACAACATAACAACATCATTTTACACACCTCAGAAATTTTTTATTTTTATAGAATTTTGTTTGCCTTACGTAAAAACTAGGCTTCTCCTTCAAAAAAAATTTAAAAATGATCAAAAAATTTATGGAAGATAAGAGACCTAGTCAGTTGACTCCACGAGGCAAACACTCCCTCCTCTCTTTTAATACCTCAGAATTTTTTTATTTTCATAAAATTCTGTTTGCCTTACACAAAAATAATTTTTTTTCTTGAAAGAAATTTTCTTCCTCATCCAGAATATAAAAATCAATTCAAAAATGCTTCAACCACAGATTCACTTAAACACTTCCCACTTCAAATCATCCAAATCAAACCTTCCCAAAAATGTATTTACTCAATATTCTACTAATTTTATTCCCCATTCTCTCAATTTTGGGAGACGATTGTGGATATGATAGAAATAACGGCCCTCATACTTGGGGAGGGCTTTGCAAAACTGGAAAGAAACAATCTCCCGTTGATATTGTTACAAAGAACTTAAAAGAAAAGTGCTATCTACAATTATCGTTTCATAAATACAATGTTGTCGGACCTGTTGAGGTTGTGAATAATGGACATACAGGTATAACTATTTGAATGTTAGTGAAAATTACTCGAGCAGAAACTTGCGGACAAAAAATTACGGACAAAAAATTGCGGATGAAAACTTGCGGACAAAAACTGCGGACAAAAAATTACGGACAAAAAATTGCGGATGAAAACTTGCGGACAAAAACTGCGGACAAAAAATTACGGACAAAAACTTGCGGACAAAAACTGCGGACAATAAATTACGGACAAAAAATTGCGGATGAAAACTTGCGGACAAAAACTGCGGACAAAAAATTACGGACAAAAACTTGCGGACGAAAACTGCGGACAAAAAATGCGGACAAAAAATTGCGGACAGTATCGCAGATAGCTCGAAACTAGCACGATACGGTAGGTAACAGTACCGAAAAGACCCATTTGCCACACTAATATGTACTCAATTATTTTTCTAAAAACAGTTGGAGTTACCGGCTTTAAAAATTGGAAGGAAAGACCCTACATTGCAAACAGGGTTGCGTCATAATTACAAATTACGATTACGAAAATATCGGGAAAAATTACGAAAATAAATAATAAAAATTACGAGAAAATATTATTGCCCTCCCTTACTTAGCCATTTAATTTTCGAAGGAAAAGGGAAAGGATTATTTATATTTTCTCTCACATGTCATTAAGTTGATCGTTGGTTAAGTGGTTTAGAAGTCAGACTTCACTTGATATGATATTTTTTTAAACTTGAAAATATGGCAAAAAATCTAAGAGTTCTGGCTCTATGAACATCTAAACCTCAAAAAGTTTTTTGCCTCCGGCTTTAACAATAGGATTGTTTCTCCTAAGGCTTTCCAAAAATCTCATAATTTTCGCCTGCGGCGCAGAAAAGTCATAAGATTAGAAGCAATATCAAGTGATTAAAAGAGGTCTTTTATCGTGAGGTTATTAGGGATTGTGTGTTATCAGGAGATCAAGTAAAAATGATATATAAGGGGATCTGTAGGGAGGTGTTATATTTTTTCAGGATTTTTTTCAGGATTTTTCAGGAGAGTGATAGATATCATGATATCAAACCCTTAATCTGGACGATGATTCCGGCTCTTGATTGAAAAGATATCGGGTGATTACGGGGATTAAATATCAGGGAATTAATTGGGATTTGAAGAATATTAGAGAAATAAGCGGACTTGGTGTGATTTTTTAAATTACGAATTACGATTCCAAAAAAAAATTTTTAATTACGACGCAACTCTGATTTTTCATGGAAATCTTCCTGATAGATATTTTCTTGAAGAATTATATTTCCATTGGTCAACAGGTTTAAATGGAAGCGAACATACAGTTAACGGAAAGCGTTATGCTGCAGAGGTATTTTTATATACAGCTGGACTTTATTTTTAGCCCCTTAGGGGGTGAAAAATTCGAATAGGTAGATAGTGGATCTAAAAAGGAAAAAGAGAAAACATTAGTCGAAGTCCCGTTAACTCAATGGTAGAGCTCCTGCATATATTAAGCGAAAATGCATAGCAACAACTGGCAGGTGGTCGCAGGTTCGAATCCTGCCCGGTGGCTAAAAAAATGTAGCCGATTATATGTAGTTTAATATGTATATTTTTTAGGTCCAATTTGTGCATTTAAAGGAAGGGTGGACATATCAAGAAGCTTTAAAAAGGCCTGATGGTTTTATAATTTTGGCTATATTTTTGGAAATAGGGGGGAATAGCCACGCATTGTCAAATTTAGAAAAATATTTGCCGAAAGTAGTTAAATATCGTAAGAACAATTAAAAAAATTAAATTAAAAATCTCTCTTCAGGCAGGACAGTAAAGATTTCAGATTTCATGATCGGCTTTTCAGTACCCGCTAAGGTGAATGATTATTACCGTTATGATGGATCCTTCACTAGACCAAACTGTGCAGAAGCTGTTAATTGGATTATTTTGCCTGGAACGGTTCAATTTACCCATAAACAAGTAAAAAACTTTGAAAGAAACTTCTCAAAAAATTTTTTCCCTTCAGTTAAATTTATTACGTAAAATACAAGGTCCGAACGGAAAACCTTTAGGTTCAAATGTACGTCCAACACAACCATTGAACGGACGTATAGTATACCGTCTTTGCCAATAAAGAGAAGCAAATGAGAAGGAAAAATTGATAAAAAAAACTGTGATATATTACATATTAGTGATGCTCGGGAGAAGAAAAAACCCGGGAATCGTGAAACGGGAGTCGGGTCAGGAAATGACCTCGTGAGTTGGGATCGGGAGGCCAAAAACTCGGGAAATTTTCCCGAGTCGGGAGTTGGGATCGGAATACCCGAGCATCACTACTACATATACATATTCATAAATAATTTTTGTATTCTAAAATAGCTGCTTGAAAAAGTTGTACTATTTTTAAAAAATTAAATGTTATAAACAGAATTAAAATTTTATTAAAATGTATTTTAATAAGCTGTATTCGACTCAGGAAAATATGGTACTCTTGTGTTATCCTCCCGCCATTTTCCTTTTTTCCCATTTTGATCGGCTATAATTTTATATGTGTAATCCAATCGAATGAATCTTAAATCATTCGAAAGGACTCGATAAGCTCTGATTTTTCTGGACTGTATGGATCAAGTCATATCGCCAATTAAAAGTCAACTCGATAGGTTCAAGAAAAAAACTAAAACCTTAGATCATTTGCAATTTATGAGCAAATAATCTAGCAATATGTAAGTGTCGCTTGTCATAGGTGGTTTTTATTCCCAAACTTTCATTCCCAGACTTTTTATTCCCAAACTTTCATTCCCAGACTTTTTATTCCCAAACTTTTATTCCTAGACTGATTTTGGTATCCGGATATTTTCTTTGATAAAAAATTAAATAGCATCAACTTTTTAATTATAATTAAATGTACTTTAATACATATTAAAAATTCCACGCAATTATTTTAAATATTTAAAACTTCCTTTTTGTTAGCTTGAATAAAAATTCTAGACAGCCGGAATGTTTCAACAAATAAAGAGACAATATAAAAAAGGCAATTTAACAGAAATTAAAACAAATTTTGGGTAGACAAATAAAATTATTAACAGTCTTCGGGCCCCGCTTGTGCGATAGTTGGAAAGATTCCTTTGTAAGTCACCTCTTCTGTTATTAAAGCTCACTCGACAGATTCTTTCTTCACTTAGGTGTCTTTTACAATCGGAACCTAGAGGTGTCTTTTACGAAAATTATTATCTTTTCGACCCCACCTGAACGACAGCCGGAAAAAATTTTAATAGGTTAACCATACTTCTAAGACACTAATCTTTTATAAGCTAACCTCTATTAAAAAGATGCCACCTCCATTATAAGACACCTCTCATGTGGAATGTGTCATTAAAGCTCACTTGAACTCTCTTCACTTAGAGGGTGTCTTTTACAAATAGGATTCGACTGTATCTATCATAATTTATTTTATTTCTCCAGACAAAAAAAATTCATCAAAAAATAATGCATTATTCTCATATTTTTATAAATTTTCTTATTCTCATTAATTTAAAATTAATTTTGGGAGAAGAAACGTGGGGATATGAAAAACACAATGGCCCTAATACTTGGGAAGGAAAATGTAAAGAAGGCAAGAATCAATCACCTATTAATATTCAAAGCAGAAGTCTCAAAATAAATTGTTTTGATAAACTTGAACTTGTAAATTACAATAATTCTGGAATTGTTGAAATAAAAAATAATGGGCATGGAGGTAAATATTAAATTAAAAAGGAAATTGTTGACAGACAATTCAGACAATTCGCTAAATTTTAAGCAGGTGGAATGGCATTTAGCAGTTAGATTTGGGATTAATCATGAACCTGGTCAAATTCCTTTCATTTTGATAGAGTAAAGCAGCTGGGCTATAGCTATTTCTGTCCTTTAGCTAGTGCAAAAGGTTAGTCGGCGGCTGGGAGCGAACCAGCATCTTCAGTAGACCGGACTGATGTGTTATCCATTAAACCACGCAGCTACTGCACAGCCTTATGAATTAAATAGCTATAAGTATGCTTTACAATAGTTAGTTTGGTTGCTAAATTAGTATAGAGTAATTTAATCATTATCGATGAAGACTTTATGCTTCATAGCTTATTGAAAAGGGCGAGCTTGGTTGAAAAGGATGAACCCCAAATTGCTCAGGTTCATGAGCCCCAAATTAAAGTGAGCCTCATTGAAAAGGATGTGCCCAAAACAATTGCCTCTCGCAGGAAAAATAAATTTTCGTGATTGGGAGTTCATGTCAAAGAAGGATATACTTTAGCCGAAGATTTGGAAAAGCCTGATGGAATTGCTGTTGTTGGGTTTTTTATGAAAATTGGAAAAATTGGAAGGAAAATGGAAAATTTTGAAAGAGTGATTAGATACGGTAATCGGATGAAAAAATTGATAGGAGGTCTCAATAGGAGGTCAAGACTCTTCTTGGGGTTTTCAGGGCTTGGGGGACCCTAGGACCCCTATGAAAAAGATATTGGAAAATCTCGTGTCTTGAACATCTCTGGCAACCATTCAAGAAATATATCTCTAAAAAACTAAAAAAACTCTCAGACACATCAACAACAATTTCCAACTTCACTATTGGTGCACTCCCAAAGACTTTGGACAATTTTTATCGTTACCAAGGTTCCTTAACTACTCCAAGTTGCAGTGAATCTGTTACTTGGACAATAAATGCAGAACCTTTAACTATTGATCGAAGACAGGTATGGATATACCGAATTGGACCTCAATATAAGATATTCTGCTATATCTTAGGGTAATCAAGTTCTAGACTATGAAAAACACAAAGAGAATAAACACGCTTATCACAAGAGTAAACACAACATAACTAAGGTGATAATAGCCTGGAAGAATTAAGGACAGTTGCGATAGTCAGCCTAGATTCTGATCATGACTGATGCTTATGACTGCTTTAGCTAGACCCATATACCTACATACTTTTAGAGCAATACCTTCCATTTAAGATACAATCCGCTCAAAGGCCTATCGTATAAATAGGCCAGAATGACTGAAAATAATTCTTTTAAAATTCCTTAGCTCCAATCACTCCGTTCAATTCACGGTAAAGACGACGAAACCCCTTTGAAGCTAAACAAGCGTCCAATACAACCAATAAATGGACGTGGAATTCAATTTCGATCATAAAACTTTGCCTAAACAAAATACTGACGAAAAAAATTTCAAAAAGCGTGAAGATAGATTGAAAAAAATTTCCAAATTTAAAATATTTTTGTTATTTTCTGTTATTTTTAAAGATATCAAAAAAGTATTTAAGTGTTTCTTGTTATTACCAGCTTTAACAAAAAAAGGATTAAACAACCACTACTTTACATTATAAACTTAATAATCTCCCCCTTCTAAATTTATTTTTTATTTTTCTCATTAAAAGCCATTAGCATGTAAAAAATAAAAAAAGTTAGAAAGGGAGGAAAGAAAGAAAGCTTGAAAGATCTGCCAAAAAAGCTTAGGCTCATGGATTAATACATAGTTTCCCTCTTATCTTTAGTGCATAATCAGCCCCCCTCCCTCCTCCCTACTTTTTAATTTTCCCTTTTCCCTCTCAAAGCTTCATCTTCCCCTCAAAACTTTTTCATCACTTAAAAAAACTTTTTTTAGAGTTAAAAGTTAGAAAGGGAGGAGAGAACTTAAGGATATGCCAAAAAAGCAAAGGCTCATGGATTAATATTTCTCCCTTCTTTTTAAATAATCAGTCGCCCCCCCCCCTTCCATTTTAATCTTTCCCATTCTCTCTTAGCTTCATCTTCCCCTTAAAACTTTTTTTCAATTCCCTTAAACTTTAATTCTCACTTTACAGGGTGCCTCAAAAGTCTTTGCCCGCACATTTTTTAGAATAACTTTATTAAAAATTAATCAAATAATATAAAAATACAATCAAATAATAGAGAATTAAATGGAGAACAAAATGTATCAGGATTTTTCGAAATACCTACCTTTGGCTTTAAGATAGAGACGCAGACGCAAGCAATAATTTTTGCAAAATTACCGCACCTATTATGGTGTGATTTTTTCCCATTTCTGAACGAGTGATTGTCGGAGTGACTCCAAACTTTGGGGTTATTAAGCGAAGAACGTTGCCTCCAAAATTGATCAAAAAGATAAATCCAAAGATTCAAACCCGGTGTGTACGGTAGCCATTTTTGAGGCACACTAAAACCGAGAAAATTGGCAACAAGACAAACTTGCATCACTTTAGCCTTATAATCAGGGGATGAATTCTACTTATAGATCCAGTTCCTTTACCAAAAGTTTTCCCAGACCCAGTGCTCTAAAACATACTGAAGGATTTCGAGTAGATCAAAGTATTTATTTATTTTGACCCAAGGATTCATAAAAATCAAGGAATTTTGATCGTTTTGCAAATAACAGTCCATATCATTTCGAGGGAAGGGTTTTGGAAATTCTTAACAACTGGATAAGAAAGAGGAGATTTTGAGGCCCAATATCAGTCATTTTTGCGATTCGCACATGTCTCTTTCATAAAAATTTTGACATCTGAAAAGAGGAACCGAGGAGGTGCGGCAATTTTGCAAAAATTTTTGCTTGCGTCTGCGCCTCTATCTTAAACCCAAAGAGAGGTATTTCGAAAAATCCTGATACATTTTGTTCTCCATTTAATTCTCTATTATTTGATTGTATTTTTATATTATTTGATTAAGTTTAAATAAAGTTATGATGAAAAATGTGCGGGCAAAGACTTTTGAGTCACCCTGTAAAAAATTTATTTTTTAACTCGGCCCACGGCACCATTTAGCGGAAATTGTGACAATTTCGCAACTAAAGTAGGGTTGTGAGTAGTGATGGTCGGGATTCCCGGTCTCGGTTCCCGAGTCGGGAAATTTCCCGGGTTTTTTGAGCTCTCGGTCTCGGTCTCGGTGTTTTAGTCTCGGAAAACGAGACTAAATTTACACCCCTAATGACGGAAATTTTTTTAACTTTTTGAAGGAAAGGGGAAAGGAATATATTTATAATTTCTCCCATTTGCCTTTGATGGTTGATGGTTGAGTGGTTAAGTTGACTGACTTCACTCACTTAAATATCTCGTAAGTTCTGGGTTCGAATCCTAAGGTGGAAATGAGGTTGTGAAAATTTTTCTTTTCGGAAATAAACGTTTTTAAGCTTTGATTTTGATTTTAAAATTTTTAATTTATTTTTTCTTAATTTTTTAAACTTGAAAAAAACATTAAAAATTTTAATTTAATCATGAATTTTTCAAAATTTCCTCCTGCGGCGCAGCGTTTTCGCCTCCGGCGGTAAAAAAGAAAGAAATCTGGCTATTGGCCTCCCAAATTTTTCAAAATTTTCGCCTGTGGCACAAAAAATGGAAGAAATCTGACTTAAGGACCTCCAAAATTCTCAAAATTTTCGCCTGCGGCGCAGGAAATGGATAAAATAGGAGGATTTATGGCTTCAAAGCCTTGCAACGTTTGTTGTATGGTTTGTTGTGTCACATGTTTCGTGGGACATGTGAGACTGAGAGAGGGTATCCCTTCTAAGCTCTTAGTCTCGACTCTCGGTCTCGACTCTCGGTCTCGACCCGGGACTCGGTCTCGGGGTCGATTCCCGGTCTCGGTCTCGACTCCCGACTCTCGGGTTTTTTTAACTCTCGACCATCACTAGTTGTGAGGAGAAAAGAAAGCTTGAAGATCTGCCAAAGCAAAGGCTCATGGATTAATATTTTCCCCCTTTTCTCTCAAAGCTTCATCTTCCCCTCAAAACTTTTCTTCAATCCTCTTAAACTTTAATTCTCCCTTTAAAAAAATTTATTTTTTTTCGGTTTAACACAAACTAAGTACACTAAAATATATTTTTTCTCTCAAATGTGGGAAAAAAAGTCGTTGGAGAAGAGCTAAGGAGATAAAATAAGAGGAGAAGAAGAAATTGCCTTAAATCCCAGAAAAAAAATAAAAATAAGGGGTAACTACTAACTACTAAAAAACTTTTCCCGTCAAAAAAAGGGCACTTTTCCTCTTGTGTGATTGACAAGAGTTTTTAAGAAAATATACACACATTAACTAATCTCTTTTCATTTATTTAAACTTGTGGTTTTTATTTTTTGTCTCGAAATTTGAAAAAAAAGACGTCCAAACAAACCCTCAAAGAACGTTTGAACTTTTTACAAATTAAAACTCTTCGATTAAAATAAATTTAAATATCAATTAAAACGGTTGAAACCTGTGGGGGATTTGTGAGATATATTCAGGAACGTGCATTCATCGGGACAACTAGAGTGCGGAAAATCGCATTCCCGGGATCCCGTAATGGGATCTTTTTCAAAATTTTTACGGGACATGAGTCCGCGAGATTAATCCCGTAAATCCCGTAATGCTTAAAATACGGGATTTCGGGACAGGATCCCGCAAAAACCCGTTCGGGAATCCTGCCCGTCCGCACTCTAGGAATAACAAACAGGGCTGTGCGTAGTTTTGGACTATTTTGGCGTTATGCCGTTTGGCGTGTTTTAAGAATTTGAAAAATTGGCGTTAGACACGTTTACACGAATATTTTGGTGCACAGCCCTATTACAACGACAAAAATTTAATAAATTAACGTTGGTTTTAAACATATTAACGGCCGTAGGACATGAATCATTACTACTGATTTTATGTCCTATGGCCAAAGGGCCTTTGATAATTTACTCTTTATTGAAGACTTATTCCTGTTAGCTACTAATAATTCATTTAACAGCTACCAAAAAATGTGTCATTTTTCCTGGCAGCAAGATTCCTTCTATTGCAGGCGTGCAACTTCACGTGTTTTTCGATCAAAATAAATTCAAAATCAGTTTAAACAAATAAAAGCTTAAATTGCGTGCACTATAAATATAATCCCCCTTTTTTTTAAACCCCCCTCCCCCTTTTTTTATTATAAAGCCAAAAAGAAAGAATAAAAACTGAATGAAGCTTCCAACAAAAAAAATTTTTTTTTCTTTTTTTATTTACTTTGGAAAATTTTTTTTTCGCTCTGGTATTTTACACAAAAATTGTAATCTTTCTAAAATAAACATAAAAATAAATATATTAACTGAAAAAAATTTACTTTTTTTAAAAAATATTCTTTGTTACTTACCCCCCCCCCCTCCTGCCACCTTTAATCTCACACTCTTTTTTGTCTTTAAAAAATGTGTTCAGTTAGTCAGTTATTTTTACATAGACTTTTAAAAAATAAATATTTATTGTGCAATATATTTATTTATATTAACTTTGACATATGTAACTTTCTCCCAAAAATTTTTTAAAAATAAAATTCACAAAACTTCTCCCTCAAAAATGGAAAAAAAAATTTTTTTAATTTTTTATTTAACTAAAACCTCTTATTTGCCCCTTTACTTTAATTTTTAATAGAAATTTCTATTTTCTTTTCTTATTAAATTAAAAATTAAAAAAAAAGTTTATCCGCTTAATTAAAAATTAAATAAAAAAAAATTTTTTTATTTGACAACTCAAACACAAAATTAATTAATTAATTTTCAACACTACTTAAAAACCCCCAAGTTTAAACCCAATTTTTTCTAAAATAATGTATTTCTTCCCTACTTTATATTTATTTATTTTTATTTTTATGGATCTCAACTCAATTTTGGGAGATAATAATTTGGATGCAAATTTAATTGGGAATCTTCCCTTTACTCAAGAGGTACTTTAAAAAAGATTTTCTTCAAGTTTTGGTGTTACGTGTAGACTAGAAGTCTATTTACTTTCTCCTCTCTGCAAAAATCAGTCCTGACCAGGAGTGAGCGCATTGCGTTGTGCGTTGATTTTTGGCCTTGCGTTGCGTTTTTGAAAATTTCTATTGCGCTCACTTCTGGTCTGGACATTCTAGAGAAAAATAGCTACCGTCTTAGCAAGAGCTCTTCCCCGGTATCACGCCTCTTCTATTAAAATCAGGGATTTTATGGGTCATTAGAAATTCGATCCGATAATTTTTCACAACTCCCTCCATTATTCTACCCGCAAAAAATAAAAAGTTTTTCTTTACCCGTATATCGAAATTCTAGTGTACCTAATAAAAATTGATTTTTAAAAAATAAAATAAAAATTATCAACATCACTTATCAAAGAGTAGAAAAAAACAAAAGAAAAAAAATTCAAAAAAAATGGTTGGAAAAATGAAAAAATAATTGACTGTCAAAATTTATGGAGAAATAATCCCCCTTCTCTCTTTAATTTCTCAATAAAAATTATCAATAAAAATTAAAACAAAAAATATTTTATCAGGAAAAACAATGAAAATAAACAATAAAAATATTTGCGAAAAAGCAAAAAAAAAAAAGAATAAAACAAAAATATCGAACCACTGCTAATATTTTTAAGTAAAGATAACACAAAACCACTTAACCAACAAGCAACCCCGTTTTAACAATAGAAGTTCTAAACTAGAGCTCAAACTAGGAGGGTTGTAAGGAGAACCAATATCTCGAAAAATCTCCATTCTTGATAACCGAGATTTGTTTGAGATCTCCATTAGGTGGGTCGGAACAGTTAGAGGTGTCTGAAATCGGAACTGTCGAAAATCTGAAATGGCTCAAAAGTCGGAACTCGGAAATCGGAAATCAAAATTCTTTTCGGAAATCGTAAGTCGGAAATCGGAATTCTGACCCACCTCTGATCTCCGTTCGGCCCATGTCCCTATTTTCACCAAAAAAAACTTATATTTTTAAGGAAAATCATCAAAAAACCACTTCTCACCACCATCACAATCATCATCATAATTCACAAAAAACTGGTTAGTCTACAAAAATTCTTCTCTTCCCTCCCAACAAAAAATTCTTTTTTCTAGCCCATCATCACTCATCTTCAGATACCTCTCATTCATGGGGCTATGAGGATCACAATGGTCCGCATACTTGGGGAAAGCATTGTAGACACGGCACTCGCCAGTCACCTATTGATATTCGAACATCAAATCTAGAATTTGCTTATATTAATCAACTACATTTTGTTAATTACGACCAGTCTGGGGCTGTTGAACTTAAAAATAATGGGCATGGAGGTAGACTAAAATAATTACCTCGAATAATTACACCTTATTTTTCCTGCACTAATTTTAGAAATAGTTAATCGGCCTAAATCCAAATCCCCTTTAGTTAGAGATAATTAAAATATTTTCAAGTTCGAATCGAGACTAAATAAAGTCTTATTTCGTTTTGGAGCGAAACGAAATTTCGACCATTCCTGATCCCCTCTCTGTTAATTAACCACAATACAGAGGTGGGTCGGAATTTCGATTTCCTAACGATTTCATTTCCTAACGATTACTCGATTTCCGAGTTCCGGCTTTTGAGCCAGTTCCGATCTCCGGCTCTTCCGATTTCCGACACCTCTGACTGTTCCGACCCACCTCTGCCACACAAGAGAGAGATTGAAACAATAATCACCCAGGCTTAAAAAATATTTTTTATAAAGTTGCCATCAGCGGATTTGAAAAATGGGAGCCTAGACAAAGACCTTATATTTACGGTGGAGGGCTAACTGGCAAATATCTTTTACTACAATTTCATTTCCACTGGACATCTGATCATTTATATGGAAGTGAGCATACAATAAATAATCTTCATTATCCCGTTGAAGTAATTTGAAAATTGAGGGAGAAAAATTTTAAAAATAATTTTAAAGGTCCATCTAGTACATGTCAAGGAAGAATATAATACACTAACAGAAGCTTTGGAACAGCCAGATGGACTTGCAGTTGTCGGAATATTTATGTATATTGGGAATGATGGAAGTTCAATGGCAAATTTAGAAACAGGATTGAAAAGAGTGGTTGAACAAGGTACAGAGGACCTAAAAAATTTAAGAAAATGAAAGAAAAATATTTACAGACTCAGCAACTCTAATCTTTAATTACACTGTCGGTGTGCATTTACCTCCAGTTTTGGACAACTTTTATCGTTATCAGGGGTCTTTAACAACCCCAGGGTGTGACGAATCAGTGATATGGACATTAATGGCTGAGCCTATACCTATTCTTGTACAACAGGTGGATCTAAACTTTTTTCGTTAATATTTTGTGAAGACTTCGGCCAAAAAAATTTCTCAAGTCAAAAAACCTTCAACCTATTAACTTTCTAAATTTTTATAAAAAATATCAGAGAGCCGAAAAATATGAGTATCCCTTCAGCCCAACCAGCACACAAATCCAAACCCCCTTAAAACCAAATTTAAATTTTTGAAGCTTGAAACTCTACGCGCCATTCATGGCCCAATCTTTGGAAAACGTCTCAGCGTCAACAACCGCCCGCTTCAACCATTGAATGGGCGCAGAGTTCAATTCCGTTCATCATCTTTAAACCGCCAGAAAATTTGCAGTAATGACACATTCATGACGAAGCCGAGTGGGAATGGTAGTGGCTTTGTTTCTGTATTAAGTGGACCATTAGCATTTATTTTTGCATTTTTTACTCTTCTAGCATTTTCAAATAATTATTGTACGGTGATTTAAAAATAAAAGACCTATGTAGATTTTAAATAATTAACAACAAAATGATAATCATTTTTATTTTTTTCTATTCATTAATACAATTAAACAATTAGAATTTTAAAGATACAGCAAAGAAATACACATACCATTTTAAATATTTTTTGTTAGGAAATTTATGGTAAGGGAAAAAAGTAATAATACTTTTGGAAATCCTAAGTAGGAACAATGCTTCAAAAATCATCGGAAGGAAAAAAACGACGGCTCACACCAAGTTCCATTTTTACGTTTCTAGTATTTTCTTGCGAAACTTGGCGATTTAAAAAGCATATTACCCAGAAATCAGTAAAATTAAATGAAAAAGGGATTTGAGAAAAGCTCTTACTAAAATAAAAACAAATACATTTTTATTTAAATCCAAATATTTTTTGAATTTAAATACATATTTATATTCAAGCAAAAAAAAAGACAAACATTAAAGGAAGAAAAAGTTAAGATTTTTAACATGAATAAAATTTAATTTATTCTTGGCCCTTTTAATTAATTATTCATTCTTGTTTTTCATTACTTCTGGTTCAAATATATTAAATCTATTGCTTCTTCTAAACAGGCTTAAATTTTTCTGGTAATCCACTAACAAAATCAAGTTTTCAAACTCAAGGAATCCCCCTTGCACTCCATTTTTAAAATTAAAAAATTTTATTTAAATCCCAATAATTTTTTTAAACCCATTAAATCCAATAGTTATATCAAAAAAATAATAATCAAACAAAATACATTAGGGAATAAAATTTGTACAATTTCAAAGAAATTTTTGACATAAATAAAGGACAACTTTTTCTTTGCTTTTTCGGTTAAAGCTTCAATTTGGGACCTCATAACTTCTGGTACGATAATGTTAAATTTCTTTTCACGTCTAGCAGCTTTGAACTTTTCAGGTACATAATCCACTTACGTAATCAAGTCTCCCATCCTTTAAGAGTTCTCCAAGTATAGCGTATCCTAAAGCGTGATTTTATTATTAAAAAATGAAAATTATTTTGTTTAGAACTTCATCTTTTAATAATAAAATGGACAGTTAAAAGCCGTTGGAGGCCTCAAGTGGAAACTTGAGGCCGCAGCAGGAATTGGAAAAACCCGCATTTTATTTCTAAAAGCAATGGAAACCGAATTTAACCATTTAAATGAGGAAGAAAGATTTGGAATTGTTGCTAGCGAAGCTTTTGAATTGATTTTTACTTTTTTCCATTGCTTTAAAAAGTAAAAATCAAATCAAAAGCTTCACTAAAATTCTCGAAAAATTCTCCAACAATTCCAAATCTTTCTTCCTCATTTAAATGGTTAAATTCGGTTTCCATTGCTTTTAGAAATAAAATGCGGGTTTTTCCAATTCCTGCTGCGGCCTCAAGTTTCCACTTGAGGCCTCCAACGGCTTTTAACTGTCCATTTTATTATTAAAAGATGAAGTTCTAAACAAAATAATTTTCATTTTTTAATAATAAAATCACGCTTTAGGATACGCTATACTTGGAGAACTCTTAAAGGATGGGAGACTTGATTACGTAAGTGGATTATGTACCTGAAAAGTTCAAAGCTGCTAGACGTGAAAAGAAATTTAACATTATCGTACCAGAAGTTATGAGGTCCCAAATTGAAGCTTTAACCGAAAAAGCAAAGAAAAAGTTGTCCTTTATTTATGTCAAAAATTTCTTTGAAATTGTACAAATTTTATTCCCTAATGTATTTTGTTTGATTATTATTTTTTTGATATAACTATTGGATTTAATGGGTTTAAAAAAATTATTGGGATTTAAATAAAATTTTTTAATTTTAAAAATGGAGTGCAAGGGGGATTCCTTGAGTTTGAAAACTTGATTTTGTTAGTGGATTACCAGAAAAATTTAAGCCTGTTTAGAAGAAGCAATAGATTTAATATATTTGAACCAGAAGTAATGAAAAACAAGAATGAATAATTAATTAAAAGGGCCAAGAATAAATTAAATTTTATTCATGTTAACAAAAATATTTTTTGTTAAGGGAAAATGGTAAAGGGGAAAAGGTAAGGGAAAAGTCCTAATTTTTCCTTCCTATTTCCCCGACCATTTTTGAGCTCTATCTTTCCCTCTTTTTCCCTAATTCTTTCTAAAGCTTTTCTCATAAGGATACCAAGAGAAACAGTTAGCTGTCCATACATTGGTCGGGGAACTAGGAAAAAAGAAAAGGCAGTCAAATATTATCGAAAATATTATTAAGTGAAGAAAAAAATAAGGGAATACAACCTAAGTTAATATATACAATAATTAATTATATAATTACATTTTAGATAAGGTACTTTTTTAATTATTATATTTACCCAATATCGACATTTCTTCCCACATTCAGATTTCCAATTCACTCGGCGGATCCATTCCTTTGCGAAATCTCTGAAAGAAAAATTTTTTTCAGTTAATTTTATTTTACACTTATTGTTAGAAAACCCAATAAACTTAAGCCGGGGTTAAAATAACAATTCTGAATTAACCGAAATTGCAAGGAAACCCCAGAGAATTCAAATTAAAAATAAAAAACAAACCGTAAATGGGCCTCTAGAATCGTTAGAGTTAAAACAATAGTAGAGCATATAACCAGGAATAACAACAATTGAGCAAGCAGAAAGACCCCATCCAAAAGCTTCGGCCCAGAAGGGATATTCCTCTCCACTTGGATAACGAAGAGGTTCATACATAAAAAGGAACAAAACAAAGAGAATCTAAAATTAGAAAAAATTTTCAGATTAAAATTTAAAAACTGAATTTCAGAATTTAAATTGAAAAAATCAGCGAAAAATTAGAACTTGAGTATATTTTGGTTAAGTTGGAAAATTCTTGGTTCCAGATAAAAAGGTCGGGGGTTCGAACCCGATTGGCGAAAAATATTTAAAAAAAAAACTTTCAGAACGAAAAATGATTTAAAAATGATAATTAGTAGGGTTTCACCGGAACCGCAATTTTGACCGGAACCGGAACCGGATCCAATTTGAGTTCCGGTTCCCGGAACCGGAACTTTTCTAAGTTCCGGCCCGGAACCGGAACCGGAACCGGAACTTAAAAAAATTGCTAGCAAATTAAAAAATTTAAAAAAAATTAAAAGAAATTTGAATTCAAAGTAGGTTTGTCAGTTTATCCCAATTATTCTGTTAACCGAAATGACTAACCGAAACGAAACTTTTGGTTAACCAAAATCGAACCGTAAAACCGAACCGTTCTATCCAAATCCCATGATATGCCCGATACCACACCAATTATATGATTCCCCTTTAATCCCCGAATTTCTTCGAATTATCCTTCATCCCACCAGATCCCTAGATATCAAATCACCGATATACCATTTTAACCTTTGGTACAAGAAATCACCCAGTATCTTCCAAATCCCCATTAATTCATGCAAATTATCAAAAATAACCTATTCTTCCTTCCTTTTAGCGCCGCAGGCGAAAATTTTGTGAATTTCGGAAGGCCAAGTGAGAAATGCCAAGTTTTGGAAGGCCAAATCCCCATATCCCTGCTATCTACCATGCACAGCTTAATCCCTCAATATCACACCCAGATCCCTCGGTATTACCTATGACCCCTTGAAAGTACATGCTGTAACTTAAAATACACCTTCATCCATCCAGATCCTCCGATATAAACTTTATTTAACAGCGCCGCAGGCGAAAATTTTGAGAATTTGGAAGGACAAGAAGCCAGATTTCTTCCTTTCCTGGCATCGCAGGCAAAAATTTTGAGAATTTGTGAGGACAAGGTCTAAATTTTTTCCTTTTCTTGCGCCGCAGGCGAAAATTTTGAGAATATTGTAACGCCAGCCGTGGAAGACCAACCCATATTTTTAAAAAAATCAATCTTTAGGGGTGTAAAAAAGTTCCGGTTTGCCCGGAACCGATTTGAAAACCGGAGCCGGAACCGGAACCAATTTAAGTTCCGGTTCCCGGAACCGGAACCAAAAAAAGGCCGGAACTTTCCGGAACCGGAACTTCCGGTGAAACCCTAATAATTAGCATACCATAGCACTAAGTGGAGCAGTAAATTTCCAGAGAAAAGTGAAGCAGCCTGGAGGATAGAAACCAACCATCTCAAATAAAGCATCTCTAACTCTGTGCGTACCTAAAACGAATTTTGTATCTATTTATAAAAAATTTTCAAAATAATACCAAATCCCCAAGCAAGGCCAAAAACTTCAAAGAAAACAACAAAAAGAAGAGCCATACCAGAAGCACCATAACTATCCACCAAAGTAAGCCAATGGGCACCAGACTGAGTAACCATAGGAATTCCAATGATGAAAAAAGTGATGCAGGTTACCAAAAGAAAACCCTTAAAAAATTAATTTTAAAATTAAGAAAAAAATTTTTGTAAAAAAACCTTTTTGTATTTTCGCAAAAGTAAAGGAAAAGTATCTTCCAATGCTGTGAATAACCCTTCAAGCATGCAAACATAAAAATTAAAAAAATTTAAAAAATCAAAGAAAGAATTTAAGATACTTGACTGTCCAAACCAAGAATAGTAATCATCAAGAAGAAAAGAAATGCCCAAACTTGTTTGAATGGCAATTTACTGGCAACTTCTGGGTACGCTTGGAAGGCAAGACCAACACCTTAAAAAACAAAAAAATTATTTTTTGGTTTAGTGGGATAATTTTTGGTTTTAAGTAAAAAAGGTCGAAGGTTCGAACCTCCTTGGTGGACATTAATTTTTTAAATTCAAAGAATGTTTGTGAACACAAAAAAATTAAAAAAACAAACCAGGCTTCACAATTTCCTTAATTTCTTTTCCAGTTATAAAAGACATATAGCCAAGGATAGAGAAAATGGCAAATCCAGCAAGAATTGAAGTTGTTCCATTAATGAAACAAACGAGGATTGCATCACTAAAAATTAAAAGAAAATCGAAACTATTTAAAAAAAGGAAGAGAAAAAACACTAAAGAATGCAAAAAAAATTAAAAATATTTAAGAAAAATTACCGAAAGCAATTATGGTAGAATCTATTATGGGAGCCAAGAGCAATAAGCGTTCCAAATCCAACACCATAACTATAGAAAACTTGAGTGCCAGCATCTTTCCAAACTTTAAAAATTAAAAGAAAATTTAAAAAAATTCTTTTAAAAGTAAACCTGTAATTTCTTTGAGTTTGGTAATATTTGGCATCAAATAAAATTTAATGCCTTCCCCAGCACCAGGCAAAGTCAATCCTCGAACAAGCAATACAGCAATAAGAATATAGGGGAAAATTGCACAGAAATAGACAAACTTAAAAATAAGAAAATTGAGCAAGGATTTAATATGAATAAAAATTAACAAGTTTTGAGGGTCAGGGAGAAAGGGGAAAAGAGGACAATCTGGTTGTGAACCTAGTCTAAAGGCCACTTGTCAGACCGCTCGGATCCAGTATAACCATAATTAGACGTAAAAATGTAATAGCCCTGTAGATCAGGGAAGACCCTAGCGGAAAAAAGAGAGAAGGAGGGGCCAAAAGAACTTGGAATATTAGCTGTTTAACCTGCCCAAGCCTTTTAATTTAAAAAATTATCACAAAACCTTTCTCGCTTGAGTTATCCCCTTCCACAAAGCAAAATAGACAACAGCCCATGAAAGAAAAGTTAATCCAAGCAATTCCCATTGAATACCTCCAAGGTCAGAAATTGTTGATGTTTGCTGAAGGACACGATATCTTTAAAAGGATTCTTAAGTTTTGTATTTAAAATTAAATTTTTGCGGACAAAATTTGCGGACATTTTTTAATAGTTGCGGATTTTTTCAAAATTTTCAAAAAAAATTAAAAAACAAACTCCCAATATTGCTCAACAGACGATTCAACAGTTCTATTGCTAATTAGCGAAGTGTTTGTTGTTGTCACATTGCCTCCAGGCATATTTGTTTCAACGCAAATATTCTTTTTGTTCCAATAATTGTCGCAAGTCTCCCCTTAAGAAAAAAATTTATTTTCATTTTAAAAAATCATCCTAATACCAAGGGCTTATCCAGGGGGGGCTGGGGGGGGGGGCTAGAGCCCCCCCCCCCCGAAATGGGGGAAAGGGGGAAGAAATTAGGAGATGGATGGTCGAAAAAGTGAAATTTTTTCGCCTACAACCCTCTAATTTTAAAAAATTTTCGCCTGCGGCGCAGAAAAGATGAAAATTTATGTACAAAAAAATTTGCGTCCGGAACGCCAAGGTAAACGCCAAAAATTTTTGCGCCCACCCAGTGTTAGCCCCCCCCCCCCCCGAAACCGACCCCCTGGATACGCCCTTGCCTAATACAGTTGAACCTCACTAAAAGATACACAAAATTTTAGACACTCCTCAATTTAACATTTTTTAAATTAGGTTGCTCATTTAAGTCTGACTTAGACTGCACAACTCGGCCAAAGTCCTTTTGCAAGAATATCACTTCGCAATAGGAAATCGGGGGACCAAAAAATAAATCAAATTCTCGTTGACAGTAAAGGAGTCCCGTATGAGTTGGGGAGCTGCCTAAACGAAACCCCCATTTAAAATTAAACCTCATCATAAAATAAAAATTTTCTGCCCCAAGAGTGTATCTTATAGTACTAGTGAGGTCCGACTCTATAATAATTAAATAAAGAAAAATTAAAATTTACAAGGAAAAGTGCTGGAAAATGAGCTAATCATATAAAAAGCAGCCCAAGAGACAATAACACAAAAATAGGAGATGCCTAAAAATTTGAACTTTTTTAAAAATCCAAAAATAATTTAACAACTTACACCAAAAAGACAAAATAATATTGCCAATTCCCACTCCTAAATAATACAAAAGAAAATTTGTAAAAGGCTGAAAATTAAATAGATTTGGGGTATAAACTGTTAAAGGTCTTTTTGAAAATTTTTGAATAAAAAAAAACTTGCGGACAACATTTGCGGACAATCTCCGCAATTTGCGGACAGTCCCCAAAAATTTGCGGATTTTTCCATCCAAATTAATCAACGAAAATTTTTTTGACCTAAAACAGAGTTACCCCAAACCTATTAAAAATTCAAAAAAGTATTTTCTTTAGAATTATAAAGGAGAAAGCATCGGCAATGAAAGCTTTGTTTAATTTTTCAAGTTTTTAGGCCTTTCACTATTTTTGTGAAATTTCTCTGGCTCATTTACTCCTCTTTTAAATAAAATAAAAAACAAATAAAAAAAGCCTACAAGGCAATGGTGACCAAAATGAGTTGCCCAAGTAGAAGGCAGCCCAAGCAATGATTGTACAGTAGTAAGAGGCCACTAAATAGTTTTTTGATTAAATTTGGCCAAATTTTTTAAAAAACAAACTCATAAATGATAGAACTACATTGCCGATGCCCACCCCTGTATATTTAAAAATTAGTAAAAAAAGGTTGGGTCATTTCTTTTAAAAAGTTGTTTAAAAGTTTGAGATGGGAGGTGCCATTGCTTTTGAGAGCATTATAAACCGCAGAGATGCGCCGTCCCGATTCCCGTAGAAGCGGGATGCGCCGTTCCGACTACCGACATTTTTTTAGTTGGGAATCCAATCCCGACTCCTGAAAGCAGAAATTTATTTATGTCAACGCAATCCCCGACAAGTAACAATTAAATAGAGGGAAGCGGGAAATTATGGGATAAAATGCCTCTCAATCTCCTCCAAAGGTTTTTGAAAGTAACTGATCCGGGTTTCTGAAAATTACTAGTATAACCCGTCCCCTCCCTGTTACCAAAATTGTCAAAAATCCCATCTTCAAACTTTTAAACAAAAATTTTCCCAAAAATTGATTCAACCAGAAAATATTTTAAATTTATACCCTTGAACATTGGACACATCTTCCACATATCAATAGCCCCTAAAAATTGGAATTTAGTAAAATATCCTGATAGGCCAAAAAGAAAACCTCTTTGCAAAAACTGTCCTACAGCAACTTCCATAACAAAAATGGGAACCGCAGCAAATGCGAAGAACAAAGCGTAAACAACCAGAAAAGATCCTCCACCATTTTTGTAGCACAAATAAGGGAAGCGCCAAACATTTCCTTGAAAATTGAAAAAAAATAAAATTTAAAAAATTTGCGGACACTTTTTGCGGACAAATGCGTTTTAGATTGCAACTCTGGAGGAACCCATCCCATCTAGGTAATTTTGGTATCATTCGAATCCGCTCGTGGAGAGCTCTTTCGAACGAACCGTCATTCAACTACTTTTCTTTTAAGAATCTCTCCGCAAAATTTTTTAAATTTCTGTCCGCAAAAAATTTCTGTCCGCAAAAAAAATTTTTTCAATTTTCTAAACCAACCTAATCCAACGGCATAGGCAACCATACTCATTAGAAAGTCGAATTGACCTAAAGACAAAAAATAATCGACTATATCCTGTAAAGAAACTAACCAGCCCACTGTCCCCTATGGACAGACTCTTCCCCCAAAATAGAAACTTTGTGTCCCGAACTAGCAGCAGAATCAAGCAACGCTTCATCATCATAATCAATTTCGTCTTTCTGTTCTCCTAAATTTTATCAAAAAATTGGCTAGAGTATTTTTTTCAAATTTACCATTTTCTTTAACGCCTTCTTTCATTTTGCCATTTTCAGAGGATTGAAGCTTCTTTTGTTGTTTGGATTCTTTGCTGCTGGTTACCGACTCTTTACTTTTTGTTTTAGAAGACTGCTCTTGTGCCATTCCTGATTATATATTTTGAACTAAAATTAGAATATATGTAGTATTAGAATAAAATTCAGATTATTGGAGCTAAACGAATTGCTTAGACAAAATGGGACTTAGGCTAAAAACGACAAAATGGCACTAGAGATAATGGAACTACTAGGGTGGGGGGAATCGGACAAATTGAACTAAGATTATAAAATGGTACCCAAAACAATCTCAAAGGAGCCTCTCAATTTCGGTTACAGTACCTTTCTGTCCAGTAGATTTTGCTTAATATAGAAACCGGCAAAATCGCGTTTGCGGGATCCCGCGGGATAAATCCCGCAAATCGAAAAAAGTGCGAGATTGCGGGACGGGATCCCGCAAAATCATGCGCGGAATCCCGTCCCGCGCCGGTCTCTAGTTTAATAACATTGCAGAGGTAGTGCTTAAGAAAGGAACAAACTGGAAATGAGAAGAAAAGAGTAAATCTGCGGACAAGAAAGGGAATATGTATGAGAAGGACTCTAATTCGTGTAAATACAAATCTCAACCGGTTAGCGAATTATTCAGAATCCAGAAAGACTAGTTAAAAATAAATACCTTTCTGTTTAAAGACAAAGGAGAACAAATACAAGAATGAGCTCGAGACTACAATATGAGGCTTTTATAGTAATCTGAATTTTCTTCGCGGAATTTTTTGATTTAAAAAGCAGGCTATTAGAGTTTCAACAGAAATTACCCAACTGAACAAACGATTAAATCAAGAACAAAGCAAAAGTTAGTGTTGTGTCAGCACTTACAGAAAGAACATAAACGAAAATAAATACCCCAGCATCGGGTTGGATGGGGGCACAGTCGGTTGTGCTTAGGTTTGGGCCCTTTCCATGATGGTTCTATTCAATCTCCCATCCAATGAGTTTTTCCACAGCATGAACATTATAGATAAAAACTATTAAAAGACGTAAAAAATGTTCAAAATTTTATGCTACTTTTTTGGTGAACAAAAAAAAATCATGAAGGCTTATATGGTAACAAAATTGTTTCGGATACTCTACCAGGGATCGCGCCGACAGAAGATCAAATTCCCGATTTTACCTGTGAATACATAGTCGAATCTCGTTAAGGGAGCAGGCCACTTTACCGCGCGCCCATTATACCGCCGAGCTATAACTTTGTTCAAAATTGTCGAATCCGGGAGGCCCTGGTATGGTTCGATTCAGCTCGTTGAGGCGCATCGAACTATACCAGGGCCTCCCGAATTCGACAATTTTGAACGAAGTTATAGCTCGGCGGGGTAATGGACGCGTGGTAAAGTGGGGGTGTACCCTCCCGTTAATAGGTCACCTTCTGGATCAACTCTCCAGAAGGTGAGTTGATGAGGAGTTAACCTTCTGGATCAACTCACCTTCTGGATCAATTTCGCAAAAATTTCGAAAACCCGATTTTCGTGAGGTCGGAGCGATCCCTGATATCTACAATCTACTAACTACATATACCGTATTTCCTATATTAGAGCCCCATGGGGCTCTATTTTTCAACTATCCTCCAAGGTGGGGCTGTATTAAAGGGTGGGGCTCTAATTGAGGGTGGGGCTCTATTTTTCAACCCTCTTTTGAGATAGAATCCCATTTATTATATCCATTGCAACTAGAGATAGGCCGGAGGGGTTGGTTGATAAAACCAAAAAATATCGAAAGACAATCGATATTTTTCAATTTTTCAAAAAAATTAAAATTTTATAAGCAATGAGTAACGAAATAATCGCAATAGTTCAATGAGGGTAAGATTAATTATAAAATATTTGTAGATTTTGACGGATTAAAGGGAATACTAGGGGACTTGTATTTGACATTGATGGATCATATATAGGTATACAAGCGATTTTAAGGGATTATGGGGAATATCAGAGGATTAATTTTATATTGAGAGATTTAGCGGGGTTAAGAGTGATATTTTGAATGAGGTATTAGTAGGCATATGAAGGGATTTTTTTGTGAAGAGGGATATCGGTGATATAAGGGATATCTATCGGGGATAAAAGGAATACCCACTATATCTCTTCCTTTTCCCCTTAGTTAATCCCTCATATTTCCCTTAATCCTTATATCCCCATGGCCCTTTATTTCCTTAACTCTTAATAATCTTAAAAATTATTGGGATATTTTTTATTTTTCCTCCAATATTTTTAGGTGGGGCTGTATTAGGGGTGGGGCTCTAATTGAGGGTGGGGCTCTATTTTTCAACTACCCTCCAAAGTGGGGCTGTATTAAAGGGTGGGGCTCTAACAGAGGGTGGGGCTCTAATATAGGAAATACGGTAATTTGTTTTTTGTTACGATTTTTTCAAACTTGATGACAAATAGCCTCACACCTTCTATAAAATGTTCATTCTCAGAGTTAATTATAATCATCAGCATCACTCCAATCTTCCTCTCCTTCACATTCTTCTTCGTTTGGATGAGCTTGAAACATTGAGCTTGACCCTAAAGGATTAACACTATACCAGTCCTCCTTTCCCTCAACTCCTTTCCCCTTGTCTGGATGAGTTTGAAGCTCTGAGCTTAAATTTAAAGAATCAAAACCACACCAAGCTTCGTCTTCGTCAACCCCTTGTTCCATTCCTGGTTGAGTTTGAAGTTCTGAATAACCTTGAGGACCAGAGCTTGAACCTAGATTTTAAATGAGTAACTCTGTTTTGAAAATGAAATTTAATAAAAAAATTTATTCTACCTTCATAATCAAAATTGAAATGATTTTCTCGTCGTTTATTAAACGAGTTGCTGTACTCGAATGTCTTCTTACTGGTTGGATCTTTAAAAATATAAACCTTCGAGTAGATAAACCTTCGAGTAGGGTTGTCGTTTCTTGAAAAATCTTGGATATCCTGAACCAAACCGATATCCTAACTGAAAGTTATCGGTTCTTGTTCGGTTACCTTCGAGCAAATGAATCCTGCTGACATGTCACTTTCTGGATCAACTGGACATCTCTATGTAGGTGCGGGATTGAGCCGACCATGAATGTGTTTCGTGGTTCCGTGTTATCCGAGAGTCTTCGAATAATCTTCATGGAAGTTAAACCCCCAACTACATAAGTGTTTTAGAGGCTTTTGGAGTGCCCTGTTGGTGTCCTACCTGTCCACAAGGATAATATAGAAAGCTTATAGAAACCCAAAAAATATTAATACCTGCATAATCTTGCTCTTCATCATCTTCATGAATTTCCTCTAAACGGCTCTGCCTCTCTTTAGGTTTACGAACTATAACGAGATTTTCGTGTAATTTCTTTTCTTGATATGATTCTATCTCTCCTGCTACCTTTTCCACTACAGATCCATACTTTTTATTATTTATAAATTTTGAAATTAAAAGATTAATTTGAGTTTCATGTAAACGTTGAAATGTAGTTGCAGTTGCGTTATAGACGATGTCTTAAATTATTAGAAAATTTTCTCCCCTCCCCTCATATAGTGTTAAGTTTTTTCGGGTATATATACATAGTTTAGAGAGCGAGATCTTCATGGAATTGACCAAACCTTGACCAAATTCTTGACCTTGAGTCAGGGAAAAATCAAGGAACTCTGAAAAATGCCTTGATCTGGACTCTGGATCCAGGAAAAATCAAGGTCTGGATCCAGATCCAGCCCGCTCTCTAATATAGTTTTTCGAGAATAGTGGGTACACCCCAACCTACCGCGAGCCCAACCTACCGCCGAGGCTATAACTTCGTTCAAAATTGTCGAATCTGAGACAACTGGTATGGTTGGATTCAACACGTCGAGGCGTATCGAACCATACCAAGGCGTCCCGGATTCGACAATTCTGATAGAAGTTATAGCCTCGGCGGTAGGTTGGGCTCGCGGTAGGTTGGCCTGCTCCCGAGAATAGTGTATATAAATCTCCAATAAAAATTTCAGATTAATTGGACAACCAGAACCTAAAAAATCAGAAAAAACTAGGTTTTATAATTTTTAACACACTATATCCCTCCTCAAAAACTAGGAAATACTAGTTTACCTTTAATAATTTTCTCAACCTCCTTATAATAATTATCAACTTGTCTTTTGTCTAAATTTTCGTCTAGAGCAAAAATTGAAAGAGGATTCGTTTCAAGGTTCTCTATTAAAGAGTTAATTGTTGTTTCCACAAATTCTTCTTGTTCTTAAAAAATATTCAAGATTAATTTAAAAAACATTTTCTAGTCAAAAAATTTTTTCTATTAATTAAAATAATATAGTACCTCTATTTACGGCACAAAACAAATTTAATTTTAATAAAATAACAACAATTAATAAAAGGAATTTTTGTTTCATTTTTAGTTAATTTGTCTATTTAATTTATTAAATATATTAATATTAGTGTATTATTTCAAGAAAAAAAATATTTTTTATGAAAATAATATTTTCAAATTTTTGGAAATTAAATTTAAAAATTTCAAGTTTTTTTTTGAAAAAAATCAATTAATAAAAGGAATTTTTGCTTCATTTTTAGGGAACCTTTAAATATGTATTTAATTATTAAATATATTTTAATTAATTATTTTCAGAAAAAATATTTTGATTTTATGAAAATAATATTTTACTGGAGTTGGAAATTAAATTTAAAAACTTTAAGGTTTTCTAAAAAAATTTTTTTGGAAGTTTTTTAAAATTCTTTTCTGAAATCTTATTTTAAAATTTAATTTAAAATTAAATTTTTATTCAAATTTATCCAATAATTTTAAATTAAAATAATAAATGCCGTGTATAGAGGAAATGCCTTGTATAGAGGTAATAAAAGGCGCCCATGGAGAAAAATTTTTAATTTTAAAAAATTAAAAATTAATTATTGAATGGGATAGAGGAGAAGGAGAGAAGGGAAGGGAAGAGAGGTGGGAAGTGGAGAGGGAAAGGGATAATTTAAATACAAAATTGTATAAATATCCTTTTCAAAAATATTTTTTGAATAAAATTTAAAGAAAATAACACATAGCCCTTATTTATTTTGCTTTAAAGGGCAGCTTAAAGTCGGAATATTTAAAAGGAATTATAGGCGTAATGCCTAGGCGTAAAGGCGTAAAGCCGCCAAAGGCTAGACTTGATTAATTGATTAAAAAATTATCTTTACGAGATTATGTCTAAGAGAAATTAAAAAGTAAGAGGGAATATTCAGAATTAAATAAAAAAAATTATTTTTTTAATAAAAATTCATTTTAAAATTTATTATTAGTCTCATAATCGTCTCAGAAACACCGTATATCCTTTGATAACTACCCTGGGTAATTATTGCTTCGACCTTCCGCTGGAGGGAGTAATTAATCGAGGGAGGGTAATTATACAAGAGAGGGTAAATTTGGACGCGTTTTAGGTAAGGGTTGACTCCGAACGCTCGAGGACGAGTATGTAGGGGGACGGGGTTTTCACTTTTTTTGGGCAGGTTCGGGTCGGGGATAAATGTGAATAATCGTTCGGGAACGGGAACGGGCTCTGCCTCTCTTTAGGTTTACGAACTATAACGAGATTTTCGTGTAATTTCTTTTCTTGATATGATTCTATCTCTCCTGCTACCTTCTTCACTACAGATCCATACTTTTTATTTTTATTTATAAATTTTAAAATTAAAAGATTAATTTGAATTTCATGTAAACGTTGAAATGTAGTTGCAGTTGCGTTATAGACAATGTCTTAAATTATTAGAAAATTTCCTTCCCTTTCCCGGAAATATTAATTTAAATGGGATCGCCCCAGAATATCGCACCCAAAATGACGGATTACCCAAAATATCGAAATTTTTAATTTCATAATTATGTACATATTCCAATGATCGGAAATGATGTTCCGACATCGGGGAATTGTGTTTTCGATCGAACTGAGACCGATCAAGAATCTCCTTGGAGATCGACTCTCTCTTTGATTCAACATACATACATATTGATCAGATTGATGTTCGTTCCTTTGTTGGAACAATTCCCCTGTGTTAAAACAGACTTCCCCGTCTTTGGAATTCATAATTATGAAATCAAGAAATTTTATATTTTGGGTAATCGTCATTTGGGCGATATTTTGGGTGTCGATGGGATGGAGTCATTTAAATACCTCTAATTATTCTCTCAACCTCATCTTTATAATTATCAACCTCTCTTTTGAATAAATTTTCGTCTAGAGCAAAAATTGAAAGAGGATTCGTTTCAAGGTTCTCTATTAAAGAGTTTATTGTTGATTCCACAAATTCTTCTTGTTCTTAAAAAATATTCAAGATTAATTTAAAAAACATTTTCTAGTCAAAAAATTTTTTTCTATTAATTAAAATAATATATGTAGTACCTCTATTTACGGCACAAAACAAATTTAATTTTAATAAAATAACAACAATTAATAAAAAGAATTTTTGCTTCATTTTTAGCTAACTTGGCTATTTAATTTATTAAATATATTAATATTAGTGTATTATTTCCAGAAAAAAATATTTTTTATGAAAATAATATTTTACAAGTTTTTGAAAATTAAATTTAAAAATTTCAAGTTTTTCTGAAAAAAATTTTTTTTTGAAATTCTTTTCTGAAATCCTATTTTTAAATTTAATTTTATTTTTTATTTAAATTTATTCAATAATTTTAAATTAAAAAAATATAGTAAATGAAGGAAATGCCTTGTATAGAGGTAATAAAAAAATATTATTACCTCTATACAGCCTTTATTACCTCTATACAGCCCATGGAGAAAAATTTTTAATTTTAAAAAATTAAAAATTAATTATTGAATAATGGAGAGGGGAGAGGAGAAGGAGAGAAGGGAAGGGAAGGGAGGTGGGAAGTGGAGAGGGTAAGGGGGATAATTTAAACACAAAATTGTATAAATATCCTTTTCAAAAATATTTTTTGAATAAAATTTAAAGAAAATAACACATAGCCCTTATTTATTTTGCTTTAAAGGGCAGCTTAAAGTCGGAATATTTAAAAGGAATTATAGGCGTAATGCCTAGGCGTAAAGGCGTAAAGCCGCCAAAGGCTAGACTTGATTAATTGATTAAAAAATTATCTTTACGAGATTATGTCTAAGAGAAATTAAAAAGTAAGAGGGAATATTCAGAATTAAATAAAAAAAATTATTTTTTTAATAAAAATTCATTTTAAAATTTATTATTAGTCTCATAATCGTCTCAGAAACACCGTATATCCTTTGATAACTACCCTGGGTAATTATTGCTTCGACCTTCCGCTGGAGGGAGTAATTAATCGAGGGAGGGTAATTATACAAGAGAGGGTAAATTTGGACGCGTTTTAGGTAAGGGTTGACTCCGAACGCTCGAGGACGAGTATGTAGGGGGACGGGGTTTTCACTTTTTTTGGGCAGGTTCGGGTCGGGGATAAATGTGAATAATCGTTCGGGAACGGGTTCGGCGTCAAACTTTAGTTTTAGGGCATTTGTTTGGGGGTAATTATCGTTTCAATCTATCGCTAGTTGGGGTAATTAATGGAAGTGGGGTAATTGTTTGAGAGAGGGCAATTAATACAGGTTATACAAGCACCTTCAAAAGAATTGAAAATCGAAAAAAAGACTAAATTTACAAAAAGGCATAAGATGTAACTTAAAATTAAATTTAAAATATAATCTATAATTAATTGTCAAAAAAATTTTTTTCCATTTTCAAAAGTTACATAAAATCAAAACTGAATAAAATATTCTACATAAAATTTGGGGGTTCAATCCAATCATCTACCTCCTTTTCCTTTTCTTCTTCAAAAAATTCTTCCAAATGTAAATTAGGATCAACCTTAAACCATTCATTATCCTCCTTATTCTCTTCTTCAGTGTTTTCCGGATGAGGGGAAGGAGGATGGATTCTATGTTGTTCTCCTAGATTTTCCTCTTTACCTGGAGAAGGCTTCGAGCTAGAACCTTCACTACAAGGGTCTTCGGGAGTCTTCTTTCCAAGATGCTTTTTTTGACTTCCTTCTTTAATGACCAGAGGCTTCAAATCATAAAATAAATTTTTAGGAGTTTTAGATGGATTAAGTTGTCCATGATGTTCTCCTTTACTTTCTTGTTTAATAAGGGGAAGCTTCAAAGTAGAGTCGTCAGGGGTTTTATGAGTTCCATGGTGGTCTTTTTTAGTTTCTTCTTTTATGGGATGAACACATTCATTTACGGTTTCATGATGGTCTATTGAAAAAAAGGGATCAAAATTTCGTGTAAAAATATAACTAAAACGCACCTTTATAATTAGCATTGAAGCGATCGAAGACCGACTTGAACATTTTGTGGAAATCGGCTATAGAATTATTAGTTTTTGTATCATGATGTTCCTCTTTGGAAGGAAGCTTCAAAGTAGAATCGTCATTAGACTGATTTTTAGGAGGTTCGACAACCATCAATGCTTTACATGGTTTAGGTGTAAAATGATCCTCTTTAATATTTTGTAATGCAATGTATAAATCGTCATAAATTTCATCTGGGGCAATAGCAGGTAAAGAGGACCCAACTGAAAATTAAAAAAATTTTTTTATCAGGGAAAATTCAAATATGATTCCTCTGGACAAGCTAAATATCTCAAGCTAGGAGTGGTAAAATAAAAAGCTAGGAGTGGTAAAATCAAGCTAGGAGTGGTATGGAAGCCTATGCCTAGTGCCCTACTGTCTATCTCAGTCTGTAGATAGAGCCTCTCCAATGATTTAGGCAAGGACAAGCAGGTCTCAGTAAAGACCAGCCAGTAACTCTCCCTCTTAACTCTCAGTTTACATAATTCTCATAAGGGTACACATAGGGATCTGCCGTCCTGATTCCCGATCCCCGAAAATCGGAAATTCCCGACGACTTTTTGGGTAGGGATTCCGATTTACCGAAATCGGGAATTTTGTTTTTTTGTCGGCACGATCCCTGGTACATACTTTTATCATGGACGTAGGACCTGCTAAACTTAATAAATAAATAATTAATTATCACCTTCATGTTCTTTTTCTTTATGCTTATCATCTTTATGAATTTTTGGCAAAACCTTTGGATTTTCCATATTTTTATGACCAAGTTTTTGCTTATTTTCATTATCAATTTTACATTTATCATTCCAAAAACCCGCTAGCATTTTTAATATTTTATCATACTTTTCTAGTATTCCCCATATCAAGCTCCATAATTCATTATTTTCTTTCTCTGATAATTTATCCATAATTGTTTCTTAATTAATTTAATTATTATTAGTGACTGGCAAGATAAATTTTTCCCGAGTCGGATCTGAATTCTGGATTTGTAGCTAGATCCGGAGCGTATCCAGACAGATTTTTCTAGATTTACCAAAAATCCGAAAACATCTGAGCGTCCGGCCGGCTCTTAAGACTAATTAATATTTTATTGTAGCTATCTGGACAGATTTTTCGGATTTGGGACCCGAACCGGTAGCTCAGTTGGTAGAGCACCTGTACGTGGTGAGCGAAAGCGCCTAGCAATAACTGCCAGGAGGTCGCAGGATCGAAGCCTGCCCGGGATTAAACTTGTACCTCGCTCTTACTATCTCATAAGTATTACAACAATTGTTGCTTCGTGTAGATGTTCTAATTAAAGCCCTGGATTTGTATTTTTCAATGGAAAACTTTAAATGGGCTTATTAGCTACGGGAGGGTAATAGAGGCGGGCCTCAATTAAAACTAATTAGAAAGATACTTGTAAATATTTTCTTCACATCTATTCCTTCCATCTTTGAAGAGAATATTCCTACAAACTCCGCTTTTTCTACCAATTCATAAAACAACGAGGGTTTTTCTGTTATCTTTTCAATTAACTCAACAATTTCTTTATTTATTTGTTTTTCGGTTACTTGGGAAGTTGAAGCTGCTAAAAATGAAAAATAGGGATTTTTAGTTAAAAAATTATTTAAAAATTTTTAAATAATTTTTAAGACAAACTTGGAGGGGGCGCAACACAAAACAAATTGAAACAAGAAAAAAGACAAACAAAAAATAAAAATTTTGGAAACATTTGATTAACCTAAACATTTAAAAAAATTTTTAACATTTAATTTTTAGTTTTCCGGAAGGGCTCGTTTCAAAAATACAAGTTTTAGTATTTCACCTCTAACGAATGCCAACTTAAACCTAGGATTCTGATTTTTTGCCAGAAAATAGGCAACTCTCTTAGGATCATAGAAAAATATAATTCGAAGTCTGAAAACATTTAGTTTAATTTCAATAAATATTTATTTAACTTTGCTCAAGGGGGCTAATTATTTATGTTACACCCTAATAGAAATGTTTGACAGACAAAGGCGTCTAGCCGTTAAAGGCTAGACTTGTTAATTAATTAAAATTAGGGTTAAGCGGGATCGCGATCCCGTCATAAAATCGGGATTTTGGAATAACGATCCCGATTCCGAGTCCGGTCCCGACTGCGGGATCGGGATTGACCAAAATCAGGATAGAAATTTGTCCTTCGGTCTCGGGATCAGAAAATCGGGATTGGGTTTCAAAAACCGGAATAATCCCGTCCGATCCTACCGGACTCTATTAAAAATTAATTAAAACTTCAATTATTTTTTTAGAAAATTCTTTAAAGAAAAATTAAAATTGGGGAATATTCACTAAGGAATATTCAGAATTAAATAAAAAAATTTTTTAAATATAGACATTGTCTAGAAATAGACCCATTGTTGTCTCCGGAATCATATGAATGAATGCACTTTTCAAAGGAATTGAAGGAAAACGAGGAAAGAAATTTAAAATTTAAAAAAAGGCAATAAAATGTGACTTGAAATTAATTTAAATTTAATTTTTAATTTAATTAAAGTTGAAATACTTTTTTAAAATCTCCGGAAATTATGTTTTACGGAAAGAAAGATTTAATATTAGAACTGTAAAATCGCATCCGGGATCCTATAAAAAAATTTTTTTCAAAAGGTTGAAGGGGACGGGATCCTGATGGATTAATCTCTTAAATCCCAGTAAGGCCTCTAAATCAGACCCGAACATGTTCAACACCAGACACTAGTTACTATCTTATTTCAACAATTGTTGCTTCATGTAAATGTTCTAATTAAAGCCCTGGGTTTTATTTTTCAATAGGCAACTTTGAATAAGCTTATTAGATATGGGCGATCACGATAAACCCCCTAATTCCGGGACGTCCCCCCACACGGCGATCCGGGACGTCCCGTTAAATCCCGTACGGGTTCCTCTACTTAATTTTTTCTACTTAACCCTACCTACTTAATTTAAGTTTTCCGGAAGGTAACATTTAATAAACTTATTGTTTTGTCTTGTTAAAAACTTCGCAAATTTATACAATTTTAAGAAAAAACAAGTGCCATTCATATTGTAACGGAAGTGAGACGTGCCTGGCTATTATAAATAAATAAATCGCAACAGCCGCCACAGACTTTGTCGGTGGGAAAATAAAAAAATAAAAGGCGGAAAAAGTGCAATAAATGTTTCCTTTTTTAGTGTTAATCTTTAGAAATCGGAAAAAATATATTTGACAGACAATGTCTAAATACGGGCCTAGATAACAGGAAATGTCTAACAAAAATAATATAGACAAACAAGGAAAAGCTAAACAAATGTTTATAGTAGAGTTGCGCCCCGACCCATTCCCCGCCCCAAAACAATTCAAAAACCCCGTCCTCCGACCCCGTCCCCGAGCGAATTTTGAACCCCGACCCCGCACCCCGCCCCGAAACAAGTTGAAAACTCCGTACCCCGACACATCCGCCCCCAAAGATTCGGGGCCCAACCCTAGTTTATAGGAGACTTATAAATCGAGTACCTCTCCTAAAATTTTCCTAATTGCCGCCTCTCGATTCTCTAACGAGAAGTTGAAACAATAACTACTAAGGATCGGCCTGGGTCTGAAACGAGCCTGGGGTTTTCCTGTACCCAGAGTCCAGGTCTAGGCATTTTTTGACCTTCCTGGGGTTTTCCTAAGCCTGGGTTTTCCTGGACATCAGGCCCAGAATCTAGTTCAGGTCAATAAATTAATCCAGAGTCAATGAACTGGTCCAGGCTTTTCAAAATTTCCGATCTCTAATAACTACTTAGATAATTACTCGAGCTTATACAAAATTGGAATGGAAAATGTTTTCAGAAAGGTCAAAAAGATAAAATTATTTATAAAAATTCACGGACAGCCGCTCAAAATAACTAAAATAAATCGTAACACTAGTAAACTTAAGCAATAAAGTACAAATTATTTGAGAAATTTAAAAAAATAAGGAAAGTTTCATCTCGTTGGGAATGTTGCGCAAGTCGGAAAAGACTGCATTTTATTTTTTCAAAGATGTGAAAAAGATATATTTACGGAAGTAAGACGTAACATCAACTGATGAAAAGCTTGCAAATTTTAATTTTAAAAATCTTAACCAATGTTAAAACGATGATATTTTTACTTATGATTAATTTTAAATTAAAATGCATATGTTCAAGTTATTGAGAATTTACCAAAACGATGTTTTTTTATTTTTACAGAAAAACATTTCATAATATTCATTTTCCTGAAAAACATCATTTTCGGAAATAACATTTTATATGGGACAATTAGGATATACCACAAGATACCGCAGAGCCATAACTTGGAATGCCCTGGTATGGTAGGATTCAGCCCTTCGAGGCGCATCGACGCATACAGAGCGACCCGGATTCAATAATTTTGAACGAAGTTCTAGCTCTGCGGTATATGGCCCGGGGCTTGGCCTCCTCCTTTATTATTGTTTTCAGGAATAATAGTATTTTTTTATGTCTAAAAATTATAAAATATAGGTACAAAAACCTAATTTTATTAAACTCTGCCAACGTAATTATTAATTTTTCAAATAATGATTCTTAATTAAAACACCCTGTATTTATTTTCCGGAAAACAAATAATACATATATTGTTTTCCTGAAACTGTTTACAATCTTAATGTTTCCAGAAAAACATTTTAATATAAAAATCCCCATCAATCACCTACTAAACCCAACATGCCTAACCATGCCTTTTTGTTTAGTTCTCTCTCATTTAAAAGAAAAAGGATATATGCTTACATTCCTCAATTCAAACAAATCCTAAAAATCTGAGAGAAAAACAGCTGTTTCTAATTTTTCGGCAAAAGTTCAGATTATACGGGGAAAAGAGAAATATGTATTTTTATATATAAAAAATAAAAAGAATTATTTTTTATTCTATTAATTTTCATGCTTTTTTTTGTTTTATTAATTTATTATTCTTTGGGTCAGCCATTTTATTTGATTTAATAGTAATAACAATTAGGCTAATAAACCAAAATTATGGAGATTCATAAAAAATTTTTAGAGACTTTTTAAGAAGCCAGCAACTTATTTTTATAATACATTTACATAAAAATAAACTGAAAATTTTTTTCCTCCCCCTTTATTTCCCCCTAAAACACTGCTTTTGTTTCCGGTAGCCCTCTTATGAAGCTAACAATAAAAAACACTTTATTCAAGTTTATTTTCCTTTTTAAACTCTTCTGTCATGTTTATTTAAAAAAAAAAGTTTATTTTTTCATGAACTAATAATTTAAAAAAATTTAATAATTAATAAAGTGTGGACAGCCCGGAAAATGATATTTTGATGAAATCCGGGTTTTCGGGGTTTTCGAAAGTTTAGGTGTTTTAGGTAAATGTCCAGCTCGCAATCCATAATTGCGAGTCTTTTGCGGACACATGGATTGCAAGCTGGACATTTACCGGTGTTTTAACCCGGAAACCCTCCCAAATCAACTTGAAAGAAAAACCTCGGATATCGTGCCCGACAATTGGAAAAGGTCGAACTCTAATAATTAAAATATTCTTTTTTAAAGAAATGTATAGATGTATTCACCTCAAATTTTTAAATATTATTTTCCTAAAAATTAAATTATTAATTTTAATCCTTTCCTTAAAAATGTTGCTAATCTCAGAAATAGAAGCTACATTTATTAGCAAAACGAGAACAAAACGTTCACCGGATTCAGAGAGTATTCAAAGGTGGAAGTTGGCCTTTAGTGGAGGTAATTGGATGAAATTATGTTCAAAAATAAATTTGAAAAATTTTAAAAAGATATTTCCACCCCTTTCGCCTCTTCCACAAAATTTCCCTCAATATTAACGTGCAATTGGGCATTACACGAATTATGCCTAAAACATGTTTCTTGTAGAGAATTGTGGGTACTTTTCAGGCGTAATTGTGTTGTTGATGCGCAGAACAATTGCAGAATGAGCAACAAGTTTTTATTTTAAAATTTATTATTTATAGGTTTAAGCTTAAGGTTTCGAGTTTCATTTTGGATAAGTAACTTAGGATAGGTAAGTAAAATTCATTTTGGACTAGATTTGGAGTAACTAGAGTTTAAACTAGAGTTGGACCCCGACATTGAACCCCGTACTCCGTTCCTAAACGATTTTTTCACAATTACCTCCATCCAGAACTCTTCCCCGAAGCATCTTGAAGACTATGCTCCCCGACACACCCGCAAAGAGCGACCGGAGTGCACCCGAGCTTAAACTTAAGAATTCAAGTTGCCACTGGATTAGACTTTCGAGTGTACACACAATCGCACCGATCGGCCGGAGTTCAAGTGTACATACAATCGCCCCGAGCGACCGAAGTGCACCCGAGCTTAAGCTTAAGAATTTAAATAGACACTGGATTAGACTTTCAAGTGTAAACTTGATATTTTATGTTGTTATTGCTCTTATAAAGCTCATTTGCCATTAAGTTATAATACTTTAAGATTATATTTTGTAGAAATGATTGTTGGCAATCTTATGAAGGAATTAGTTGGACAGGGCTCGGAGCATGTACATGCCCTGGAAATAATTCAGACTGCCACTGGATTAGACTTCAAACAACCTATAATAAATGCATATGTAAGCAAAAAATCCTAAAATTAATTTCGGATTTTAGTTGAATTAAACAATGATGCTTCATGGCACGTTCAACTAAACAGTCTTGCTCAATACTCTGCTAATCAGAGAGGATCAGGCCTTCCACCTATATCAACTAGTAACCCTTTAACGAGTATGAAAGTGCCAACAACCCCTTCCCATGAGAAAGTTGAAACAAAAATTGAAAATGAATCGGAAAATAAAAGAAGGCAAATGGTAGCTAATGAGGCGAGGTTAGCTAGAATTCATGCTCAGGAACAGAGGAAACTTCAACTAAAATCAGAACAGGAAATTGAGAAAAGGAGAAGAGAAAAGTTAAAAAAAGATAATGAGGAAGTCAATTCGCACACTCACAGCAATAATCAAAATTATAAGAAAAATATTCAAGAATTAAGACAAAAACCTACACCTTCTAGTCAACAATTAAATCAAGAGGCAACAATTAAATTTAAAAGTGTGGTACTAAAAGATGAGAAACCAAGAAAAAATCCGGCAAGAACAAGACCAGTTAATCCTAGTAATGGAATAAGCAAGAAAGAGAAGTTAGACAATGAGAATGATTTTAACGAACAAGAGGAACAACAAAACAAAGTTTCTGAACAAAACAAACTTCAAAACAAGTTCGAGAAACTAAACGAACAACAAAACATTTCTGAAAAATTAAACGAGTCAGAATTGCAAAACAAACCTATTAAAAACATGTTTGACGAAGAGAAAAACAACTCAGAACAAAAACAACATTATCAGAAACATAAAATTAAAGAAACACCGAAAACAAATAAAACAACGATTTTAAAAACATTTAACCCTCCAACTTTACATTCCAACAACAAAATCAGAAATGATTCATTAATAGAGCCTTCTCCAAAACCTCTTCAGATTTTTCCAACACAAGTTGAATTATTAAAAAATACCTAAATATTTTATTTACAATTAGACAAACGAACATTTGGTAACACAAGCAGAAACACCACCTACTACAAAAATTACTGGATTTATAGAGAAAGTTGATCAAAATAAGGAGGAAAATCAAATCAGGGAGGAAAATTCACTTGTTGGGAGTAATGTTACTTCTGGTAATTTAATCTCAAAAATATTTCCTAATTTCTTCCTTAATTTTATTCAACCTCTGTTGCATTTACCTCTTTTCAACATTCTTTTTCTTTTATTTTTAAATATTTTTTTCAAAAACAAATTCTTTTCTTATGCTCACTAATTAGGCTTTATTTTCACCAAAAAAGGTCGCTAAAAGCTTATAAACACACTTAACATATTTACATTAAAATGCTTATAAGAAGGGCAATTACTTCCTACTTTTAAGCCTGTTTTAAACAAATATTCATAAATTAAAAATCAGAATTACGCAAACATACTAGAAAATAAAAATAGTTTATTAAACATAGTAAAAATCAGAATTTCAAACGAACAAATTGCATATCAGAATTTAAAACAAACATAGTAAAAATCAGAATTTCAAACGAACAAATTGCATATCAGAATTTAAAACAAACATAATAAAAATCAGAATTTCAAACAAACATGTTACATATCAGAATTTTAAACAAACATAATAAAAATCAGAATCCTAAACAAACAAGTTGGAAATCAGAATTTTAAACGAACATGTTGCATATCAGAATTTTAAAAATTAAATAACATTTAAAAAATCAGAATCTAACGCATACTTGATAAAAAAACATGCTTCTCAAACGTAATAAAAATCAGAATTTTAAACGAACAAATTTAAATCAGAATTCCAAACAAACTTATATTTTCAGGGTTTTTATTTATTCCTCACACCTAAAACCCAAATATATGCATTTTTACGTGTTAAAGTATATTTAAATGTTTTTTGCCGTTCCATCACAAGTACTAGAAGTTTCCGCAATTGGCCCCTTCACACACTTGAAAGCTTAAAATCCTTAAAAGGCATAAAAGGGGAGAAATGCCGTAAATAAGTAAAGAAACCAAAAAAACTATTTATTTACTTTAAACAAACATATAAAAATAAATTTCCGTAAAAATCTAAAAATAATAAAAAAATAAATTTTTAATAAAATGCATTATTTTCCTCCTTCCATTTTTCTTCTAAATATTCTAAAAATATTAATAATAATAATTTTGCAAATATACCCTATTTCTTCAATTTTATTAAAATTTTATTCAATTGGTATTAGAATTATTTAAAAATTTAATTTTTATTAAAAAATATTTTAGATAATCCCAACATCACACTAATCCCAACATGCCCCCAAATAATTGGAATTTGTGAAAAAGACGAGACAACGGCTTGTAATTGGCATTTAAGGCAATTAAAAATTTTTTTTAAATTTATTTTATTATAAGGGGCGAATAGCCTCATAGACGCAAACTTGAAACACAAACTTGAAACAAAAACATTTGTTTTTAAGTGAACTTCAAATAAAATGTCCACAAACATTTGACGACGAAAACAACAAAAACAATTGTTTATTAAAGAAAAGAGCCCCTCAATGCTCTGCTGCTCTTAGCCGTTTTGTTAGATTTGTTTCTGCACCTTTAGTTGAGGCTATGCTTTTTTGCAATCCTTCCCCTATTAATGAAGGGACGGAGGAGAAAATTGTAAATATTAAAAAAAAATTTTTTTAGGAAAAATTAAATTTATAAAAAAATTAAAAGTTGCCCTCTGTTCTACAATTAAATACAAAACAATGTTCGTCAACCAATTCAAATGAACATAAACAACAACAAACACGTTGGAGTTGCACACAGTTTGTGAAAACATGTTTAAATAAATATAAACAATGTTTTTAGAACAGCAAAAATGTGTAAAGCCCAACCTCGTTGCAAGTAATTAATTAAATTTAATTTAAAAACTTTCCGGAAAACAGGCGGAAAATTACAAACATTTGTTTTACAAAATGTTTTTGCAAAAGAATTAAAAATTCCGGAAAACATTTTCAGTAAAACATTTTCCGGAAAACATACAAAAATCACTAAAACATTTGTTTTTCAAAACTTATTCACAAAATAATAAAAAATTCCGGAAAACAAAACTTTCCGGAAAACATGCGGAAAAATTACAAACATTTGTTTTACAAAATGTTTTTACAAATGTTTTTGCAAAACAATTAAAAATTCCGGAAAACATTTTCCGGAAACTTTATTTTCTTTTCAGCCACTACATAAACAATTTATTAACTTATTGCCCAACATCCAACACAACATCTCCCTATGCCTCACCATCTTGTCTGTTACCAGATAACCCCACTTCTCTACGTAGATGTCGTTTAGCATTAACCAAATCTAGAGGAACATGGCTCGACGAACCTTGTTTTTGTAAATCTAATGGAGGGGGTGATTTTAAAGAATGTAAAAAATGGGAGATGACACTTTGGCCTAAGCACCCTTGTATTGGTGAAAAAATAAAAAATATATTTTCCTAAAATTTTTGTCTCTTTCAGAAAAAGTAGCAACAGATTTCAACCAACTTTATATTGACGGATATATAAAACTTGACCATAAAAGAAGGAGCAAAATAAATAATAATAATATTAGTTTACCCAAAAAACAAATAACAAAAAATATGGAATTTGGAAGTATTGAAAGGCGGGTGTTTTTACTTGAAGAGGATAAGGGTGGGAAGAGTTTGGATAAGGAAGAGAATATTTTTAAAGAGAAAATCAATCGAAAAACAATCGAAAAATCAGCCGAAAAATCAGACGAAAATTTTGAAAATAATGAAAAGGAAGGAGGGGAAAAGGAGAACACTCAATGGAGTTTAATGACAACAAAGACAGCAACACCCCCACCAAAGGATGAGTCCGAGATTGATAATAAAAATAAAAACAAGCAATTATTAAGCTATTATTTGGATAAAAAAGAAGAAAATGAAACAAACAATAATATTGATAAAGTTGAATTTATTAAAAAACGTAAACGGCCGATTGGGAGAAAAATATTTCCTAATAAAAATGGATATAATAATGGCTCGTTTATTGATGTGAATGAGTTTCCAACACCGAAAATTACAAATGAAGGTTTGAATAAAACTTTAAAAACAAGCTAAATTTTAAATGTTTGGCGAATAATATGTATATGTAGTAAAAATAGGAAACACAAACAAAACATAATTAACATAAGCTTGAAAACAGACAAACAATACAAAACCTTAAACAAAACATTAAAATAACGACAAACAAAACATTAAAACAAAACCTCCAAACAAAACATTTCAAACAGAAAAACATAAATTTAAACTTAAAAACAAACAAACCAAAACAAGTTTTAATGTTACTAAACAAGTTGCAGAAAAAACATCAATTAAACTTTAAAAAACACAAACAAAACATAATTAAACTTGAAATGGGCAAACAAACAAACCCCAAACAAAACATTTCTCACCAACACATACATAGTAAATTAAACTTTAAAAACATATAAACAAACAAAACAAGTTGTAATTTATTAAACGTTTTAGGACGGGGTTGTCGAACTAGAAACATCGATGGAGAATGGGTAGAACATTATACCGATTCAATCTTTCGACAATATCATGATTGGTCAGGCCGTTGTTCAAGTTGGTGTGAATGTGTGGTTAAAGGGAAGGAAGCTGGAAAATCTGAAAATGCTAGTTCTCACACAATACGGTGTCATTCTCTCGGATGTTTACAAGACCTCCAGTGTGAAACAAAACATACAACAACAGGTTGATTAATTAAACTTGGAAAACAGAAATATAACTTGGAAAAATACAAACTTAAAAACCAAGTTGAGACCAAAACTTGAATAAACATAAAACTCGAAAAACACAAACAAAACACAATTAAACTTGAAAAACAAGTTTATTTTGAAAACAAACTTTGGAAAAATACAACTATAAAACACAAACATGAAAACTTGAAAAACAAGTTTATTAAACACAAAACTTTAAATATTATTTTTATAAAGTATTTGGTCAACGACTTTACCTGGAAAATCGAGGAGCCTGTCAATGTCATAATGGACAATTTATTTGTGATAGTTCAGAATTGCAGCCTGAATTACAACCTGGAATATATTTGAGTTTGGGGTATTCACAGGCAGAAATAGATATTATTAGAGAGAAGGTGCCTAAATTGGCTTTGGAACGAAGCGGCCTTATTAGCCATGTCAGTGCTTTTTTTAAATATTTTTCAAAATTTTTCTGAATTTTTTAGAGCAATTCACTTATCAAAGACTTAGCCACAAGACTTCAATTTGCTCTAGAGAGGTTATTACCTGGGGGAGTAAAATGTAGATTTGTGGTTGTTGAACATTTTAAATCTGAGCAGGTAATTAAAATGCTTAATATTTTTATAAAAAAATTAACTAAATAAAGGTTGTTTTAATGCAAATCCAATGGTTTGGTATTGACCATTCTGCAAATCAGACTCAACCAAAATGGCAAAGTGGAAAGATGGAGAAGGTAAAAAATTAATTTTTAAAGTCAAGATTTAATTAATTTTTATTGGGAATGAGGAAATAATTAAATTTTGGACAACAAATAATTTTTTGACTGAAACACTTTTATTTCTTAAGATGTTCAAGACTCTTGATCTTGGATCCATGAATTTCTTTTGGTGTTTTATGTATCGGGGTTGGGATAAGAACATAGTTTCGTGTTAGAAATTTTCACTTAACACAAAGTTCATAGAAATTATAGTAGGGTTGACAGTTCTGGATCGAACAGAACCGAACCCAGCAATCGGTGATTCTTTGGTTTGGTTCTTCGGTTCAGTTCGGGATATCCGAAGAATTTCCAGGAACCAACAACCTTATAAAAACATGGTTTCGTGTCAGAAGGGAGAGATAAAAGTTTAGCCGTGGCAATCATGAATCCTGCTTTTGTCAGTTATTGCAAATCCTTTGCTAACCACATAAGGTGCTCTACCGACTGAGCATCCAGGCATACAATAGGACTTCAAATATCAAAAATACGTGAACCCACAAAAACTTTTTTTATAATATTTTAATTTTAATTTCTTAGCATTGTTCTCAATATGTCCGCGAGTTAGAATTAAACTTTTGGCTAGAAAAATCAGAAAGGTATCAGCTCCTTCTCTCTACTATCAAACAAGTTAGAGCTACCGATTTATTAGATGCTTTACCTTTGAATTCGTCCGTGAAAAGGATACAAATCTTAACTTCTAATTTAATAATGTATTTATTAATTTTAATAATTTATAGAAGGATATCTAATTAATTAATTAAAATTAGACAAAATATTTTCTAGATGATCTCTTAAATATTTTTAAAAGACAGTCGACTTCATTTTTAAATACCTCCATAAATCGGAAATCCAATCTAAAATATGCTTGGCCATAGGTTGGGGGTGGTGGGGGAAACGTGCGGAAATCCAGAGGATACCTCAAAATTAGGGTTATTCACGACCGATCTTGAAACCGAAAATTTTAATATTTTTTGCCAAAATTAACCGGGCTTACAAAATCTAAAAAAGCGAAAACTTCTGGATATGAGTGAGTTCATTAAAAATTACCCCAAAATAAAGCTGATATTTGACCAAAACTCAAAACCGAAAGCCATATTTAAAGTTTGGTTAAATTTGGGTTAACCGAAAACCGCGGGTATTGGTTAATAACCGGTAGTGAACAACCCTACTCAAAATCTAAAATACTCCTCTTTATAAAGTAAAATTTTTTCAGACCAAGAGAGTAACTAAAAATGAGGTCCGACTGTTCATTCATATTTTTGTTTTAAATTCTCACTTGTTTATTTTCCGCTCAAAAATAATTAAAAATTTTCAAATCTAAATTTTCTTTAATTTTTTAAAATAAATATAATTAAATAAATAATTAAAAATCCAATTAATTTCAATTAAATAATTAGTACTAAAATTTCATTCAAAATATTTTCAAACGCTAGTATTTAACCCTAAAATCCCCTCAGGCATTGCTGTAGATGTTTCTTCCATTTGAGGAGCATTCTCCTCATTTAAATTAGGCCGAGGCTCCAAACTAGTAATTGACCCTACTGCAAATTTCCCAGGTAAAGGGCCTCCAACAGCATTTACTTGATCCTGCCTTCTTTTAACTTTAATACACCAACAACTGAGGAATAGGAGAACAACTACAAGTATAATACCAACAGTTCTGAATTTTAAAGAATTTTTTAAGGAATGTACAACAATTTATTTAAACAAACCCAAGTATGCCTAATAACCAAGTTAACATATTATCCATTTCTCTAGAACGGCACCAAGGCTGTCCACCTTTATTCCATTCAAATCTATAGCTATTGGGGTACTGAAAATGGAGAATATAATTTTGTGGTAAGATTAAAATTTGCGGATGGCATGAACAAAGTATTTCTACTAACCAGTGAATAATAAGATTTTATGGATATAAAATATTTTGAATCAAAGACAATTCCAAAACGGGTTTACTTCAGATTAAGGGCTGGTCCTAGGGTGTGATTATAATTAGAGACCGGACCAAGATGAGATCTCGATCGAAACTCCCGGTTATCGGAATCGAGATTTTTTGACATCAATCTCGATTCTCTTACGACACTCCCATTCTTGTCTCTAATTATACTAGGGAGAGTAGGTTTTAGAGACATAGAGCCATAATCATGCAATACATGAAACTTATCAAACTCACATTATAATCAACAACTAGAGAACATTTATATTCTGAATCACCCTTTATCCAGTGAGACTAAAAATATGAATAATAATTAAATTTAAATTCTAAAATGCCTGAAAACATTCAAATCTAGCAACATCTCCTTGCATATAACTTGGAGCTAATGCTGGTGTTTTAATCATATATTCCTACAAAAGGAGAGGACATTATTCAAAAATCCTTCAAAAAACACTTACAGGATATTCAATATTTATAGGTCCACAACTATTATAACTTCTAATTGCTTGTCCCCTATCATGGAAAAAAGCATTCCAAGTATCTTTTACTTCATTCCCCAATACTTCAGCATTTAAAAGAGTAAAATCATAAAGACAAGGAACATTATCTCCACAATGTTGAAGTATTTTGCCTGGATTGTCTGGACATTGAGAAGCCCAATCCCAATAAAGTTGGCCTTGATAAGGTTGCATTCCGACTTTTAAATGATTTTATTTTTATTTTTTTAGCCCCTCTTACGAGTATCTCTAGAAGCTAAATCATTGCATTGTTGTAATATCTGCATTAATACAGAGCCTGTTCTAGGCACAAATCTGTATTGGGGTGTTTCGTAAATTTGGGCAGTTTTGTAGATTGGTTCGTTTTTCATTGCGGCCTCTGGGAAGGCTTCGAACTTTTTGTCTTCCTCTCGGCTGGTTGTGAACCTAAAAGATTTCATGGACATTAAGTTGTTTAGAAATTGGGTTAATAATATTAATTATTGTAGTGTTAAAATGGTTTAGTTCCAAGTTTAAGTAATAGGTGGAGTCCATCCTAGGCAAAAACAGGTCTCTACATAATATTGACGCTTTCATGATAAAGATTGTTACGAATATATTCATCCATGGGATACCCACCTGTAAAATTTGCTCCTAATTTTACAGGTGGACGATCAAACCCTCCCACGATCAAACTCATCATATCCAGTCCCCACCCTATTTAGTTAATCTATATAAATTCCCCTACATATTATCAGTAGGTATCATATACTGATTCAATGTTTGTTGTTGATAATCAGTAAAACGTTCTCCAGACCCAGGCACTCTATAGTAAGTAATTATTTGTTGTCTAATTGATTCAGAATTAACTTCATTTAAAGTCAAAGTGCTGTATATAGAGCCTGTAACTGTATCAGGGAATGGACGCATTAAACCTGACACTCGGGGCAAATTATAACGTTGACGCATTTCTTGATCTCTTGTTTTATCTCCATCTGGTTGCTTTTTTAAATTAAAAATAAGTATTTATTTATTTCCCCTACCACTCCATATTGAGGAGGAACACTTAAAGCAATATCCAAAATACCCATAGATTCTTGATACATTGGCATTCTGTCAATATCAACAGAATAACTTTCTCTTATTCGAACACCAATTTGGGCTTCCTCCAAAACTACATAAACTTCTGGTTGGCCTCTTTCCACGTTATTTACATAAATTAGAACTCCTGAAATGTTTGGGATAAGCGAAGGGATTAGAATTAGAAGTCTTAACCCTTAAATCGTTGCAGTCTCATTGTGTCAAAATACCGAAGTATATTTCCAATAATAACAGAAGTACGATAGCGAAATCGCCGAGTGTCACCTCTTGCCAACACTAAGACTCTCTAAACGGAAATAGTATATAATAATTTATAAGCGTTTAATTATGGGGTCTATTATATGATACCCTCAAAATTATATAAACCTCAGTTCAAAAACGTTTTTCACATTTAACTGTTGGTTATAGGGGGGACTATTTAATGTTTCAATGGGGACTATCTAATTGCTCTTGAGAGAGATGACGAAATTTTTAAACCTCAAGTGGATATCTTATAGTCCGACCGCGTTTAGGTTCCAGGGCATTTTCAATTTTTAATTATGGTTCATGACCACAGAACTAATTTTTGGAACCAGCAGAACACTAACTACAAGTAATAAATATTAATTAGAATTTGCCTCAGTCCCAGTAGCCTCCAAAGCAATTCCAGTAATTACAGTAGCATTTGTAGGTTGAACTAATTGCTCTTGAGAGAGATAACGGCCTAGCATACTAAAATCTACACGTCTATTGGGATAACGTTCCAAACGAATTTGGATCCGAACTTCGGGATTATTTATTGTTTTGGGAATGTGGAGAAGTGTGTAAACACCAGGCTCGTTAAAAACAAATTTGTCGTTGTCTATAGTGTGGAAAGTACCAGCACCCATTGCTTCCCCTATATTTTTTAAAAAGAAATTTTTGAGAAAAAATCTTTTCAAAAAACCAATAGCTGGTGGTTGATATTGTTGACATCCACTACTTGGCCTTCTCCAATAAAAAAGTTGGCAACGAAATTTGGCAAATTTACAACAAAGAAAATAAGGCATATAATCATGGTGAAAGGCAGAAAGACCAGGAACTTCAAACTGCCCCATATATGGAGGGGTACCAAATTCATAGGCTCTCAGTGGAAAGCCTGGATTATAGGGAGTTTCTTCAATTACTTTAATGACTGGTTGGTATGTTGTTTGCATTAAAAATCCTTTAAAATTATGGAAAAATTTTATAATTATTAGAGGATGGCTCCTTCTAAATTCTGTCATAGTAGATTCTGTCATAGGCCTTATACCAATCTAAAGGTATACCTCATTTCAGGAGATATCATTGGATTTTCAAGGCCAAGTTCTTATGTCAAGCGCCTCAAACGCCCTCTTACATTTACTTAAAATACCTAGTTCCTTCACCACCACCTCCACATATATAACCTTATCTCCTTTATGACTTAACTTAGTCGCCACCCTAATTTATTTTTAATTAATTAATTACCCTTCTCGTCATAACAACAAACTTGTCCATAATGTGTTGGAAATCGTCTTTAAAAAATAAAAACATTAACTCTTTCCGTTCAAAAAGTTAACTAACGTTCCCCTATCTTGTCCATCCCTTCCATAATATCCACCACCAAAAGAAGTTCCTTCACCTCCCGTTTCTGGCCCTCTATCTCTATAAAAATCTCCTCTACTATATTCACTATATCCATAACCATAATCAAAATGCCTGCCAGAATAAGAGCCGTAAATGTTGGATGACTGGAAATTTAAAGGGGGAATGAGGGAGGGAGGGAGAGAGAGAGAGGAGAATGGCTGTTTTAAAATTGGCTCCTAATCTCAAAATCTGGGAATTTCAAGGCCCGCCAACCAATTCCCACCTCTTAGCACCTAGGTAAAAGGGCCAAATGAGCACTAATATTCACCAAACTTTTTCAATTTTTGATTTCTGACAAACTTGACCCATAAGCCTGGGAAATCTCCGGATTTGGGATAAGATTTTCGAAGATTTTTCAAACAGCTATTGCTCTGTTTTGGAAATAAAATTTAAAAATCAGATTACACTCATATAACAATTCTTAGCCCCAATCATAGAAGTACAGGTTATATCTCTAAATGTTTGTGAACAACGTGGATGAGGCATAAATCGTCCTAAATCGAATTTGGCCTGATTTTCCATACAAGGACAGGAAGCATTTGTTTCTACATCTCGAATAAAGCTTTGAAATATTTTTAAATATTTTCGGAATATCAGAGTAACAAACTTCCATTGAGCCCCATCTTCATCAAACCAATCATGACACATTTCTTTTGCTTTTTGAGCAATAAATTCTTGTTGAACGTCTTGTTCTTGACGAGAAAATGTTGTTGTTTCATATCGAGGATTTCCAATAGTCCAAAGCCAGTGAAGGGAAATTGGGGCAGAAACAAGGCTAATTAAGGAGAGATTAGATTAATTTTGTGGGTAAATAAAGTCACATGATCTTGCTAGGCAAGTAAGGAAAAAGAGTGCGAGAATGATCAGAGTATTCTATTATTTATCGGTTATTTAAAGTGTTTATTTAGTTGAGGTCGGCTGAAGAAGATATGAGCCGCCTGATTATTATTTCCTCACGTGCATTTATCTATTCCGGGAAGGGCGGTCGCGGTCCTACCAGAAACAAGGCTAATTAACGAGAGAAATTAACTTAATTTCTGGCTAAATTCTGGACATTAGACATACCCAGAAAGAAGCTGAGGGGCTAGAAACCCCGCTTGATCGTTTGTCCGTACAGGAGATAATTTTAAATATCCAACTCTAAACGTAAAAAGTTCATTCATTCTTTCCCAATCATTCATGTACCTTTAAATTAAATAAATTTAGATTTTTTGTAATTCTCTAAAAAACCATTGTTCAACTTGATTTAAATTAATTCTCTCTTTCTGTGCATTCCATCTATACTCATAAGTATTTCTATTAGAATAAGTTGCTAATCTACAAAGAACTCGATGTTCAGGGCGGAATTTTTTGATCTAAATTTAAACATAAATAAACATGTTTTACAAACAAGTTTAGATAAAGTAAACTTGCTTGTAAACATAAAAACAATGTTTTTACAACTTAGTTGGAAACAAACTTTGTTTGTATACAAACAAGTTTATTTTAGTAAACTTGTTTTTAGTTAAATAAACATGTTTAGAAACATGCTTATTTTGAAAAACTTGTTTTTCTCTGTTTGTTTTGGTCAAACTTGTTTATTAACAAACATGCACAATTTTAAGAAAAACATGT